CGCAGCCGCCACCCGTCCTCCTCCAGTGACACCTGGAGCCACTCTCAGTCCTCTGACACCATCGTGTCGGACGGCTCCACCCTGTCCTCTAAGGGTGGCTCTGAGGGCCGGCCAGAGGGCTCTGTAGCTAGCAACAGTGTGGCACCCCCGCCCCAGGGGGGCAGCGGGAGGGGCTCTCCCAGTGGGGGCAGCACTGCTGAGGCCTCGGACACTGTCAGTATTCGGAGCAGCGGGCAGTTGTCCAGCCGGAGCGTGTCCCTACGTAAGCTGAAGCGGCCCCCACCACCTCCCCGCCGGACCTACTCACTCCGTCAGCGGAGCTCAGCGGCTCCTGATGGGCCCTTGGGGTTGCCTCCCAAGCCGGAGCGGAAGCAGCAGCCACAGCTGCCTCGGCCGCCCACCACTGGTGGGTCCGAAGGGACAGGGGCAGCCCCCTGTTCATCCAACGCAGCAGGCAGTTGGGTGCCTGGCTTGTCTCCAGGTGGCTCCCGGCACCTGCCACGCTCCCCAGAACGGACACTGTCACCCTCCAGTGGGTACTCGAGCCAAAGTGGTACCCCTACCCTCCCTCCCAAGGGTCTAGCAGGGACACCTGCTTCCCCAGGCAAGGTCCAACCCCCTAAACCAGAGCGTGTCACTTCCCTCCGGTCTCCTGGGGCCTCTGTCTCCTCCTCCCTTACCTCTCTGTGTTCCTCCTTCTCTGACCCAGCCCCCTCAGAGCGTTCTGGTCCGCAGATGTCAACCACCCTTGGTGACAGGTTTGTCATACCTCCTCATCCCAAGGTGCTGGCCCCCTTCTCCCCACCTCCTTCCAAGCCCAAGAATCCTAACCAAGCTGCCCCTGCTCTGGCTGCCCCTGCGCTGGTCCCTGGGCCAATTGCTACCATGGATGCCAGTCCCGAGTCCCGTCCCACCCTGCAGACATCCCTGGCCCCACCGCAGGAGTCTCCTGTTGCCCCCAAAGACCAGTCACCGCCACCATCCCCACCCCCATCTTATCATCCACCCCCACCACCCAATAAGAAGGTAGAGGTGGTTGAGGAGGCCCCATCTGCCCCAGAGACTGCTGAGGAGCCCCTCCAAGACCCCAGCTGGCCCCCACCCCCACCTCCTGCGCCCGAGGAGCAGGACCTGTCCATGGCTGACTTCCCCCCACCAGAGGAGGCCTTTTTCTCCGTGGCTGGCCCTGAGCCTGCAGGCCTCTCAGACCCTCCGGCTCCTCTCAGCTCCCTGGCTGCTTCGCCCTCAGCTACCATCTCTTCTCAGGGCCAGCCCCACGGCACCCCAGACCCTCCAGCTCCGCCAGCCCTCCCTGACAGTCCTGTCGCAGGGCACGTGGCCCAGCTTCCTCGGAAGGAACCAGTGGGCTGCAGCAAGGGCAGTGGGGCTCCTAGAGAGGAGGCCGGTGCCCCCCTGGTCACGCCCTCCCTCCTGCAGATGGTTCGGCTGCGTTCTGTGGGTGCTCCCACAGTGGCTCCAACTCCAGCATCAGGGCCGTTGGCCCCCCAGAAGCCACTGCGAAGGGCCCTGTCAGGGCGGGCCAGTCCAGCGCCTGCCCCCTCCCCAGGGCTGCAAGCTGCCATCCGACTCAAGGCCTCCAGTCTGGCTGCCAAAGAAGATCCTGGGAGTGCCCAGCCCAATGGGCCGCCTGAGGGAGAGCCACGGTCTCCCCAGTCCCCCGCCTCTATGGCCAGCTTCATCTTCTCCAAGGGCACTAAGAAGCTGCAGTTGGAGCGGCCTGTGTCCCCCGAGAACCAGGCTGACCTCCAGCGAAATTTGGTGGCTGAACTTCGGAGCATCTCGGAGCAGCGATCGCCGCAGACCTCAAAGAAGTCACCGAAGGCTCCCCCGCCTGTGGCCCGCAAACCCTCTGTGGGAGTGCCCCCACCCGCCTCTCCCAGCTTTCCTCGGGCTGAGCCCCTCACTGCTCCTCCGACCAATGGGCTCCCTCATGCTGAGGGCAGGACTAAGGGGGAGCCAGCGGAGAATGGAGGTGTGGTGCAGCTGGTCGGCCGGAGAAGCTGGATCGGCCTGGCTCAGGTACCGTGGGCGGTGGCAGGGTGTGGGTCCCATTGCTGGTGATGGGGCTGGGTATCGGAGTCTGCACTAGGGGTTGCTCTTGGACCTTTTGACTGCCCTGGTCTCAGGATGTCTGGGGAGGGCGGACTGGCAGCCTTGAGCTGCTGTGAAGAAGCATGGCATGTGGGGCTTGGTTTTTTCAGTGGCTTTATTTTTCACATATACCATGTGTGTGTATATTTTTTAATTCAATTACAGTTGTCCCAAGTTTCTCTCTGTTGCTCTGCCCTGCCCGTCCCCTCCCCGCAGTCTCCACCCTGTTGTCCATTACCATGGGTCCTGTGGGCCTTCTATACATGTTCCTGGACTAGACCCTTCCCCTTCTTTCCCTCATTATCCCTCTTGTGTGGGGCTTTGTTATCAGAAGTACAGAGTTTGAATTCCAGCTTCACCATTTTGTCTGCCCGCCCCGGCCTCAAGCGCCTGCCTGCCAGGTGGGGACGTTGGTGCCTCCACCACAGTGTCAGATAATGTCGGTGAATTGTCTAATGTGTTGCCTGGTCAGTGAGCTGAGGGGTAAGAATGTGCCTTGGGCTTTTAATGTCTAGAACCAACTGGGGAGGCCCTTTACTGAGTGTTCCTTTTTTTTCCCCCCACAGACCCACAGAAAGAGCTGGTCTAACCACCAGGCATCTCACTGGCACTGCTGACCCCTCCCAGGAATACAATCTCAGGGACCTGAGCAGTTCCAAGGATGAGAGGATGTGGCAGAGACTTGACCTAGTAGAGAGGATGCCTGCAGCCTTAACCTCCACGGCCTTCAATATTTATGCAAGCCTGGTCTTGACCCTGTCCTCCAAGTCATCCAGCTCTCATGCCTTTTCCCTAATGGAGTCACCTCCAGCGGCTGCCACTTGAGTCTCGGCCTTAGCCTCATCTTGAAGGAGGTAGCTGGTGGGAGTGGGCAGCTGCGCCCCCTGCTGGCCCTGAGGTCAGAGTTGGGAGAACACCTCCCTTGGGCTCCTGTTTTTTTTAATGTCCAAATCATGCACACCCTGTAGTCTGGAATCAAAGCACTTTCAAAAGGAGACTGCATGTCCACCCTCCAGGGCCCATGAAGCCACATTCCAAGGGCCTGTTTACATGGCGGCAGCATCGATCCCTGGCAGCCAACTCATAGCTGGGACCATCCTTCTCATCCAGTTTGCTCCTTAGTTCTTGGAGGTGGGCAAGTCGTTGCATTCCCACAGGCTGGAGGCAGGAGCAAGGCCGTGGAATTCCAAAGCACAAAAGGTGCAGCAAGGGTTAGCCTTCCTGTGCCTCAACTTACCACCAACCACCCTCCTGCCTTCCAGTTATGCTAGGTGCTCCGTGCTGGGAACAGGAAGTGGGAGGCTGCCTGGTCCCATGGGTGGGGAAAGAACAGAGGGGAAGGGCTCACAGGCTCTGTCCTTAGAGGGCAGAACAGTATAGGGAGCCATCTTGGGGGTCACTTGGCAGTTGTCCCTTGTTTCATCTGATCAGGTTGGGGTGGGCAGGCACAGCTCTTCAGGGACAAAGCTGCATCCCTCTCAGCCGGGCAGAAGCACTAAAGAGGTGGGTGGTGGGGAGACTGCCACAGGCACAGCCCATGTGGGCGGTGGCCCCGGCCCAGCCCCACAGGTTTGCTCCCCTGACCTGGCTTCCCTTGCCTCTGCTCATGGCCTTTGTGCAGCTGCCTTTCAGCACAGGTGGCTCCACTGGGGGGAGCTGGCACTGAGTGATGAGAGCATGAGAAGCGGGAGGTACATCCTATTCCAGGCTCTTCCGTAATCATTGGGGGAGGGGGGAGGTCACTCCATGCTCTAAGGGAGCAGGATGTGTGGTTTGCCCCCCCCCCCCCCAAGAAGTTGATCTCTGCTACTGATGTGCCCTCCAGGAATTTTAGCGACCATTTCTAGCCTGTGCCACCTCTCTAGGTAAGCTGGCTTCCCTTCCGGCCCCTGTGGCTTGCACAGTGACTCAGGCTTGAGTCTGGCAAGGAAGCTTCCCATTAGCTGTTTCTCTTACACCGAGGAGTTTGGCCTCCTCCCAGAACGAGAGCTGGGACCATGGGATGTGGTGCCAGTGCCCAGGTTCCTCTGGCCCTCTCACTGCTTCCTTCCTGGAGCCGTAAACCATCGCCCTTTGGGTAATTGATGGAGAGCTGCTGCCGGTTACGTGTTGTGCCTGCCCCAGGAGTTGAGGAAGGAAGATGGTCAATAGCACTGCTCTGCTCAGAGCTCCTGATCCAAGCCCCTGGGAACCAGGACCAGGACCAGGCCAGGGCCTCCGTGAAACCAGGTCCTGGCAGCAGCCTTGGAGCTGCTGGAGGTGGGAGGGAGCCCAGATTCCCTCTTGCCCTCCATTCTCTAAATGTTACTCAAGCTCCTTTTCCTCAGTTGGAACCTTTTATTTCCCCACCGGGTGGGACAGAGGACAAAGGGAGGATCTAGAAACATCCCCTCGTTGTCCTCTGGGGCAAATGAGCTTGATCTAGTGCAGATGGAGAGACCAAAAGCCTCTGATTTTTAATTTCCACAGAAATGTTAGAGAGAGAAGTATATATATATATTTCTTTAAATTTTTGAGTCTTTGATAATGACTATATAAACAAGCCATTCATTCTGCCCTGAAGCTGTGTTTCAAGTGTTAATTAAATGATTAAAACTTGGCTGTGGCTGCTGCTTAATGGGAGAGGGTAGAGTGGTATGTGGGGCCGAGATTTAGAAGGGAAAACGGTCTCATGGCAAGCACCGGGCCCCTAGGGGGGCCTCTGCTGCTTAGCACTGCCAGAGGGAAGGTCAGGTGTCCATTGACCCTCACCCCACCCAACACAGGGTGAAGAGGACAAGGTACAAGCAGCCCTGGACTGCGGTGGGGGGCGGTGCTTGGCAGCTGCTGCACACTCGGGTTGCTCTCTTCCGAGATGGTCTAGTTCACAGACAAGCCTCATCCAGACACACCTTTTCAGACATTTTATTTGTGTTCGTGACACTGATGGTTAATGACACTGATTGAGATGCCTCATGGAGAAGTACCCAGCCTCTTACGGAGAATGAACCAGGCCGTGCGATCCACCTACTCCTGATGTGAACCACACAGCTGCTTTAGGGACTGTCCCGGCCTGGCAGAATCTTGGGAAATTCCAGGAGCCCCGGGGCAGACCCTGCCTCCAAAGCCAAGCCTCAGGGCTGGCAGGCCTTGGCAAATGCTGCCACCCACGTGGCAGACCACTAGGTTCTCTTGTTTTCCCTTCCCTTCCCTTTTCAAATCCCACAATTTCCTGTTGGGGAGAAGCTGTAATTAACCCAATTCAGGCACCGGGTCCCAGGCAGAGAAGCACAGCTGCTGGGATAACCAGGAAAACCAGAAAACCAGCATTTTTCCAATTAGAAGAACTGTGGCATAAATTTTTTTTCTGTGCGTTATATTAAAACCAGGTTTCTCAAGTCAGCTGCCAAGGGAGGAAGAGCTGGACTCCCCGCTGCTGCTGCTGCCGCCGCCCAGCCCTCATCACTACCTGGGAGGTCGGCCTCCCACTGCAGCCAGCCTGGGATGGTCCTGGAGCCTGGGCAGACTGCGCTGCCTCTTACCAAGTTCTGTACCTAATGGAGCCCCAAACTTCTTGCTTCAGTGTCCTGGAGGATGGGTAGACAGAAGACAGAGCAAACCAAGCAGATGACTCAGGATGATAAGAGAAGGGTAGAGGGTGCTGGGTTAGCTAGCTGATGTTCCCTCCTTTCAGCGATTTACAGGAGACGTAACCCAGCTTGGTCATGAAGTTGGTTTGCTTCCACTGTGCAATGCACTCCTCAGAGACTTTAAAGTCAGCCTGGGCAAGAAACAAACAAACAAAACAAGTGATTACAGTGATGGTGCCGGGCCTGCAAGAAAACAGACTGCCTACACCACCAGCATGCACACTGACGCACTCCACTCCTGGAGGGCAGGCTGCCAAAGGCTTCCGCCTTCACATCTTTTTTTTTCAGTCCATTAAAAAAAAAGTCTCGCATCCTCTGACTCAGGTAAACCCAAAACATTGCTGGAGGCAAAATGACAAAACTAAAAGCTGTCCTGCTTCGGGCCCATCCGAGAGGCAGGGTTCCTTGGACAAGACAGTCGTGTGGGGAAAGCGAGGGCAGCGGGACAAGAGGAAGCCCAAATACGAGCGGGGCTTACTCCGAAAGGAAGCTGAGGGCCCGAGTCTACGGGAGCTGAGCAGGCTGTGGAGGACAGGACACTGTAGACGTCATTCGTTCACAGTGTCACCAGGAGTCAGAGCCAAATCAATAGCACAAAATTCATCTTAGGGGCCTAATTAAGAAAATAATCACGAATATGTGCAAAGAACTATGTACCAGGACATCCATCGTGGCTTTCTCGTGGTGAAAAACTGAGAAGGGCCTCAGTGTCCAGTAGGGTAAACGATTTGCTTAGGTATAGTAACAGTGATAGAATACAACGCATTAAGATTCCCCCCTCAATATTTAAGAAGATAGAAAGTTTTTCAGGCATAAAGTTTAAAAACAATATGATGACTCAAGCCCTGGCTGGTGTAGCTCAGTGGATTGAGCACGGGCCTGCGAACCATATGATTGCGGTTCGATTCCCAGTCAGGGCACATGTCTGGGTTGCAGGCCAGTTCCCAGTGGGGGACACACGAGAGGCAACCATACATTGATATTTCTTTTCTTCTCTCCTTCCCTTCTCTAAAGATAAATAAATAAAATCCTTAGGAAAAAAAAACAATATGATATGACTCAAACTATAAGTATTTCTATGTATAGAAGTCCAGAAGAAAATACTACTAGTGACATTCTTTAGTCTCTCTAGGTGATGGGACTATGGATATTTTATTTTTTCAATTTGTCTTATGTCTTACACATATCTACACTGGAAATTTATTTTATACAGCCAGAACAAAAAAATGACTCATAAAACCATCCTGGAAAACCGGGGAGGGAGGCAGGGGACAAAGCCATTTGGCACACGAAGGGGCACGGAGCGGCGGGACTCACTCCAGAAACCCTCTGATGGAGGCACGAGTTACTACCTAGAAAAAGTCACACAGGTCGTGTTCCACGAGGAGAATGAATTTTTGCTGCTTCAGTCACAGATGCAGCCCAGACACACAACCATGTGTGAGGTACAGGAGGGACCCAGTATTTGTCGAGTGAATGGATTCAGGGGTCGCAGGGGCGGGCCATATGTGGCCCAGTGCCCCAGAGGGACAGGAGAGAACGAGTTCTCCCAGATCAAGGTGGCTGACAGGGACCCTGGCAGGGCTTTGATCCTGGCTCCCCCACCTCTGGTGACCCTGTGTGGCCCTGGCAGGTATCCTGCCAGGTAAAATGGGGATCACCTAATCACAGACTTCAGATCAAACGAGGAACTGTCTGAAGTCCCTCAGGCAGTGCCTCAAGTAGCCTGTCGGCCCTCAGTACGGGTGGGCCCCCTGCTCTTCAGGCGCCTCCTTCAGCAAAGGTCCAGGAGGAGGAAGGGAGAGAGGCTGCGACGCAGAAAGGCCGCTGGGGAAAAGGCAGGGCTGGACTCAGCCCAGGCAAGAAAGGAACCGCCACAGCCTTTTACCTGCAGCTTCTCAAAGATTTTCTTCTTGGGCTTGAGCTCCTCATCTGGTTGGCCCTTCTCATAGCCCTTCACAAACACGCGCTCGCCAGGAGCAGAGTCCGCCGGAGGGTCCAACGGCTCGACTCTGCGGCTGACCCCTTCTCTGGGAGGACACACAGGACAAGGAGTGAGGTTATGGATGGCTTCCAGCTGCCGCGGAGGCCCCGCCGGGACCGAGGCCGCCCCTGCTGTACGACGCGCCTGCTCTTCATCAGTGCGGGGCTACCCAGGGCTAAACCGAAATCCGAAATCCCGAGTCAGGAAAACCCACAACCTGGCTCTCGAGGGAGGGAGGGAGCACGACAACAGCGAGAGCAAGGCCTTAACAGCCCATGAGAAGTGCGTTTGAATCCCGGCTCCGCCTCTTGTTAGTGTTGAGAGACAGGCACATACACACTGCTTCGAACCTCCCCTTTCTGTTTTAGCTGTGGGCAAAGCGCTTCATTCCGAGTACTCGTACAAGAAATAATTCCTTCATGCACTCTTTTTGGCCAGTGTTCTCAGGGCTTCCACCTGGCGTGGGGAGGGCCAACGCTTGCTTGGGCCAGTCCCCCACTCTCAGCCTTCCCAGGGCCGTGCCCCGCCCCGAGCCCTCACTCACACAGAAGCGCACAGGACCATGCCTTGAGACTCGATCCCTCTCATCTTCTGCGGCTTCAGGTTGCACAGCACCACCACCAGCCTGTCCTGCAGTTCCTCCTTGGGCACAAACTGCACCAGGCCGCTCACCACGGTCCGCGGCTGAGCCTCCCCCACATCAATCTTCTCCACATACAGGCTGTCTGCGTCTGGGTGCTGCCAGCAAGAGACGCCAGACCCAGAGAGTGTCATAATGGAAGAAATCATGGCACCTGGAGAACCCTCTGACCCCGGAAAGGGAGGGACATCTCCCTACAGAAGCCCCCAAGGGACCCTCTAGAACTTACTTTCCATGTCTCAGCGCACAGGAGACTGGGCTTTGAAGGTACATTCTACTCTCAACCAAGAGGTGGGATTTAAGTAAAATGAGCCCAATTACTTGTGTAAGAAGTGGAGGTAATCTCTAATAAGAGAGAAGTAACGGCCCAGACTATCTGGGGGTTACCATGACGACCATGGCCACTCCAGATCAGTCCTGGATGCAAGACAGATGGAAGCGGACGATGGCTGGTGTCGCCACCTGAGAGCGCCAGCAGTTCTCAAGGTCGTGGTGGCGGCTGGGTCTATACAGTGAAAGGCCAATCAAAGCTGGGAGCAGAAAAAGCCCACAGCGCCCTGACGGGTGTGGCTCTGTGGGTCGGACACTGTCCCACAGATGGAGGGGTTGCAGGTTTGATTCGGGTCAGGACACGTGCCTGGGATATGAGACAGGTCTCTAGTTGGGGGCATGAAAGAGGCAACTGCACATTGATGTTTCTCTCCCTCTCTTTCTCCCCACTTCCCCTCTCTATAAAAATAAATATGATCTTAAAAAAAAAAAAAAAAGAGTGAGCAAGAGAGAGAAAGCCCACGACTGTGGTCCGGGCCACTGGTTGCACAGCCTTCTGTCTCTGAGGAAGAGCCCTCCCCCTTCACCATCTTCCCTGTGTATGTACCGGGTGGGGGGTCCGCGAGACACGGCGCAGGCCCAGGATAAGGCCTGCAGCTAGTCCGGGCAAGCTGCCGGAGACCAGGTGAACCCACCACACGGGCTTTAACAAATACACAAGTGCCCTCCAACTAACACCCGCCCCCACTCGGAGTTCCTGGCTGTGTGTGGTTGCATAAGGCCCAGAGACAGCAAAGGGAAAAGCCTGAGGCCTGGAATTAGACGCCTGGGTTCTGACTTGCAATATGACCTCAGGGATGTTACTTCCTAGCCCAGGCCAGGTTTCCTCCAGATGGAAACAGACAAACTTGACCCCTACCTGCCTCTCTGGGATGTGGTGACAACACCTACCTTGTCCACACTGATGACTCTCCCCACACGGATGTCCAGCCGGGATGGGATGACCTCCTCTGGTTCTGAATTCTTGGCAGGGCCTCTGGCAACTGGCTCTGGGAATGAGAAGGACCCCGAGGGGTCAGAACGGTCCTCCTCCCCATGAGAGATCAACTGCTGATGCCACCAAAGAGGACGCCAGCAGGTTTCATGCAGGGTCCCCAGACTCCACCCACTGACTACGCCTTCCTTCATCTACCTATCACCCAATCCTTCCTCCTTATTTAACTTTACTGAAAAGATTTACAGACTTATATATTAGTCATGTAGGATGTCATCATCAAAGTAGCTGAGAACCTGAATAGGAAACACCATTAATATTATTAAATTTTAGGGACCGTGGGAATCCTGGCCTCTATTTTAGAGGTTCGGACTTTTATGGATCAATTAAAGTTTACATTACCGTGAATGCTACTTCTGAGTTACACCCTCCTTAAAACAGGGTTGGAAACTTTGAGAAGGGCTGGACTAGATTTCTGTCTACTCTTTCCCGCAGTTACTAGGCTGGAGGGGAGGGGACGGTAGCTCTGCCACCAGTAGGTGCTCCCATTCCTGCATTCCACACATATTTGCTGAGTCTTTTCTGGGTGGGGTGGACGGCCAGTAAGGGCCAGTCAGACACGTGGAAGGGACTGCGAGAATCTAAAGATGAGCCTCCAAGAAGCTGTGCGGGCTCTGCCCGAGCGGCCACATTGCTCTCACGGGCTGACCCCGCTGGTCTCCGTGACTGAAGAGGATTTCGAGAAAGGAACCACGCACACGTCTTCCACCAGCACCTCCTGCCCGGCCGTGCTGGTGCAACAGGACACGAGCTCCGCACAGCACCCACCAAACCAGAATCGAGAGGGCGCGAGTTCCTCCCAGGAGTCAACATTCTCCCACTCCTGACCCCCAGGCTTCCTCGGCCCTTGGGACAGGACAGACTTTTCAGAGGCCCACAAATAGGCGGGCTGTTCCGGTGACGTCACTCCCTCCCTGGCCCTGCCCCCCCCCCCCCTTCCCCTGGGCCTTACTCTGCTTCGAAGGATCTGGGTAGGCAGCGCTGGACAGTTTCTTCAGGGCCGGGGTATTAAACTTCTCCCGGATGGGATCCAACAACTTGTTCAGGGCGACTTCAACAGAATTCTTTAGGTCTCCAGGGTGCACAACCTGGAAAAGCGCACGAGCCTGGTGAGGTAAGGCACCAGAATGGGGCGCAGGACAGCTGAACCTACGAATCTCAGGCGCACGGGCTGCAGGTCTTTTGACTCTGAATTTGATGCCAATTTGAAGGTTTTTAGAGGCCACGTGTTTTTATTAGCCAATATCTTCTGGTTCCCCCATTTACACTTAGGGTGCTGGCATTAACCAGGTGTCATTCACAGGTAGAGAAACACTCATACAGGCAACGGCAGGGCTGAAAGCCCAAACGGGAGCTGAGTGAGAAGAAAGAACAAGGGCCGTGGGGTTCAAGTTCCAGGTAGCTGTATGACCCCGAACCAGGCATTCTCTAAGCGCTTGAAAAATGAAGATAATACCTTTATCTCACAGAGTCAAAGTCAGGATCAAATCACCAACGGGGTGAAAATGGTGAGTAGTGCTGCTAAGGGCTGGAGGGGAGCTCCTAACTTAATTTCAATGAACTGGGATGTAATTTGCTTTTATATTCCACATCTGGCCAGCAGTGATCCTCCAGCGACTGAGGGGATATCCCTTAGGTATGAATACCTGTAACACAACACCTACAGTTTTGTTTTCTGAGGCTATTCCTGCATTTCCTTGCAAATGCTGAATTTTTAATGACACAGAAGCTTTAGGCCTGCACTGTCCAACGTGGCAGCCACTAGCTTCATGGGGACATTTAAATGTACATTAAGCTTCAGGTACTCAGCTGAGTGGCCACAGGAAAGGATCTACAGGCAAATGTGACCAGTGGTGGCGGTGAGACAGTGCAGGCAGAGCAGTCTACCTGCACAGAAAGGGCTCTCAGTTGCTCCAGGCCCTTCATTCAAACTCATTTCTTCTTTCTTCCCATTATTCCCACAGAGGACGGTTCACAGGGCTGGGGAGCGGAGGGCGGGTTCTGTGGTCTACCTCAGGCTGCAGCTGCAGCGAGGTTTCACAGCAGTGACTTTCAAATACCCCAAAAGTGGGCCCTGAGGGCCCACAGACCTCAGAGGTCACTGTGTCTTTTCCTCCATTTGGTGCCCTAACCTCATATGACATTGTCTCCTGTGGTCCTCTGGCCTCTGACACTTCAGTGGTGGGGAACACAGGGTCAAGTGGCGCAGCCTTGTCCGTGCCCACGTACCTGTGGTCATTAGAAAGTTCTTCCTGAGGCTGAACCTAAGCAGGCCTCCCTGTGGCCCCCAGCCTCGGTCTGGGTTTGGCCCTCTGGTGCCCCAGGAAGAAACCTAACCGTGCCCTTATGAGGGTCCTTCGTGCACTCAAGGGTGACTGGGCCCACGCTTGCTCCTCAGCCCAACACGCCCAGTTCTTCCACCTGTGCTTCTGTGACATGCTGTTGAGCCTGTGGCCTGTAGGGGCATCTCTCCTCCAGCCGCCAACACTCCCGGATGGCAAACCACCCTCATACAATCAAAGTCCGGGGTGCCACGCACAACCCCAAATGGACGCAGCACAATGGAGAACTGAATGAACCACGGACTCCCTGGTTCTAGGACCTACGTTTCTGATGACTTGGGCCAGGACTTCATTAGCATCTCTGACAGCCCTATCACACTGCTGACTCAACTCAAATTCAGAGTCCGTCCCAACTCCCCATTTCATTCCCCAGACACACTATTATTAAGTCCTCCCCGTATGATCTGGCCCTGCCTGCACATCCCACAACGCCCCACCTCACCTTTCAGACTTAGACCAAGCCATGTAGGGTCCCTGGTACACCACGCTGTTTCACCTCACTGACCCGCGGCATGGTTCACTCCCTCATGGACTCCTACTCAAGTGAAATGCTGGATACCACCCCCTGTGCAAGGCTCCCCCAACAGCAGGTTAATCACTTCCTCCCACCTGATGTCTGGACCACGCACGTGTCTTCGTTGTGTGGTGGTAAGACAGGAAATACCTGTTTATATGTCGGCTTCTCCTACTGCGCTGTGAGCCTCAAGAGGATACGGTGCTCTTGGTGCTGCCAGCGCCCAACACGGTGCCTAACGCATGCGCACCGGTAAGTCCTGTTAAGACTGACTGCTGAATGAAGAGTACCCTCTATTCTGTCCCTGTCATTAACACTTTATTTATTTAAAGCTCCCCCCCCCCCAGCTGGTGTAGCTCAGTGGATTGAGTGCAGGCCTGCAAACCAAAGGATCGCGGTTCAATTCCCAGTCAGGGCACATGCCTGGGTTGCAGGCCAGTTCCCAGCAGGGGACCCACGAGAAGCAACCATACACTGATATTTCTCTCCCTCTCTCCTTCTCATCCCCTCTAAAGATAAAGAAATAAAATCTTTTTTAAAAGATTTTTTTTAATCCTCACCTAAGTGTATGTTTTTATTGATTTTAGAGAGAGAAGACGGGAGGAGGGGGAGAAAGAGAGACATCGGGAAAGATAAAAACATCTACTGGTTGGCTCCTGTATGCTGGGGATCGAACCTACAACCTCGGTATGTGCACTGACTGGGAATCAAACCCATAACCTTTTGGTGCCTGGGACGATGGTCCAAATAATCGAGCCACCTGGCCAGGGCTCTCTATTTTGTCCTTTTTTGTGTCTCTTTTTCAAACCCTGATTTTGTACCCATCTCTGAAATGTTTCCTTTTGGGTTGGGTTTGGTCCTTCATTCCAGGTGAAGCCCTTTGGAGAATGGCGAGCTTTGTGCCGTCTGCCCATCTGATCCGTGAACCATCAGAGTCCTCATCTTACCCATTAAAATATCCCCGGAGAGCACCGGGACAGAGAGCCCGGGGGCACGTAACCAGAATCCCGGCCAGGGTAAGACGCGGGTTTGTTGGAGCGAGTTCAGTGGGGATTACGCCTCCTCTGGTGTTACCTCGTCAGCAAAGTCCTTTTCCAGGTCCACGTAGGCTGTGTAGGTTTTATTTCCACCCCATTTTTCATCTCGAAGGATCACAAACTCTGTAATGAGAAGGAGCCACACCAACGAACTCACTGCCAATGGCAGAGCCGGCGTTCCTGGCCCAATATGTGGGTGCCTGTTGTTTCTGCCATACATGTACTTTGAACTTTATTATGTGGTTTGATTACTTTTTTAATTGGATGTGTGGCCCTTTTATACGCCCGGCCAGCACCCAAACTCAAGGGGCAAGGATCGTGCCTTACGTTTATTTTTTTCCTCTACTTCTGCCTGCCCCCACCCTCATTCCCACCACCCCTGCCCACCCTGACACCCCACTTAGAATCTAACCCAGCGACAACCCAATCACAGTTAAAAGTAGTTAGTTCTACTGCAGCCGTACAGCAATACATGAGAGTTCAGAGCAGAGAATCAGGGAAGCCAGCCCTGGAGGAAGACGGTGACAATCGCACATGTGAAACGACACGTGACGGTACATACTCCCACCACTGGCCCTGCCATCTCCCCCGGCCTCTGAGAAGAAAGCAGGGCATGTCTCACCCGACTTGAGGGGGAAGAGGACGTGCTTAATGAAGGACAGCACCCCGTTGTTCTCCACATTCCCCGGCTCACAGAAGGCCTTCTTCAGCTTTTTCTTCACATCCTCCTTCGAGTCAAGGAGATCGATCTTGGATTCCTGGAAGCCAAGGAGGGGAAGAGGACCTCTTGTGGTTGAAAGTGAGAATATGCTCAACTCATCTCTGCATAGAGGATCCTTGAACAGCACAGGTTTGAAATGAGTGGTTGTTATATGTGATATTTTTTTCAATACATACAGTCCTGTACATATAGTTTCTCTTCCTTGTTTTCTTAATAATATTTTCTTTTTTCTACCTTATTATAAGAATACAATATACACTGCACATAACACAAAATATGTGTTAATAGACTGTTTATGTTACTGGTACCGCTCCTGATCAACAGGAGACCATTGGTGGTTAAGCGTCTGGGGAGTCAAAAGTTACGTTTAGATTTTCCACTGTGTGTGTGGGAGGTCAGTGCCCCTAACCCATGCGTGTTCAAGGGCCAACTGTATTTTAATATCTCCTTTTTATTTATGTATCTTTTAAATTTAATTTTACTTTTTCTATTTTATTACTATTTTTCATTTTATTTTTTTCTGTATTTTAATTTTTTAAATGAAAGATTTAAACATTAAATAACTTTAACAAAAGTATAATTAATCAGAGTGAAGGACCACTCACATTACCGCCACCCAATAAATAAGACCATTTTACCATGCACAGCCTAGCAGAGGTTTTTTGGTTGTTTTTTTTTACTTTCTTTAGGATTATTTCCTTAAACTACCAAAAAAAATCGCCAGACCCCTGAGAGGGGCATGCAGATTAACACTGCCCCCGGCAGTGTGGGAGGGCACTTGTTTCAGGGCACTGGCCAGCGCCAGGTATCACAAATTACCTAGAGCCGTTTCTCCATTTTGGGGGCGTAGAATTTGTTTCATATTTTGGAGCCAGTAAGCTCATGTTCATTTGAGTTCAGTGGTTACCAAATTCTGGTCCACATGTGCCCGTGTATGAATCACCTGGGACCATTTCAAAAAAATATAAATTACTGGGCCCCACCCAAAACTCATGGATGGAAATCTCCTGGGGTCAGGCCAGGTACTGCATTTTCACAAAGCTTCCCGAGTAGTTCTGACACATTCTCAGGATCGAAATCTGGTGCCTGTCACCAAATAGGATGAGTAATATGATACTTTGTCAGAGACGTAACTGGCACAAGGAGCATTTTAATTTGAGACAAAAAGTGATGAGTATATTCTCTTAAAAAGAATAGTAACAGTTTCCATGCATATATTCATTAATCTCTGACTTAAGATCAAGAAGTCAAACTTAAAGAACCAGATGAGTATCCCAATGTGACTTTAAACAGAATCACCTAGCAGGATTTGAAAGAAAATATAGATTCCTGAGTTGTTTACCCAGAACCATTTTATCAGAACCTAACTAAGGACAGGGTCTAACTTTTTTTTTAATTGCTAGTGATTCTGAAGATAAGCCATGCTTGGGAACTCTGAACTCAAACTTTTACTACTTTGGGCTCTACTGAGTCCTCTATTCTGTACTCTTAGTGAACAAAACAAAAGTGTGCATTCCTTAAACTTTTAAGTGTTATAAGACAGTGTATACATGCCATATTAGTTATATGAAACATTACCCTAAGCATCAAGATGCTAGCTGGTGAAATGCAAGCACAGCCTTCTCATTAACACGGCTGAATTTTATCACAGTTCTATGAATAGAGAAATTACTTTTGCTTGTTATTTTTATCAGTAGTAGCAAAACTCTGAAAACTCTCAGGACTGCTTCTGGGTCCTTTGGTACTACTCAAGAATCCCTGGAATTCATTGAATGACTTCAGATTACTTATAACTTAAATTTTTGAGAATTCCAGTTAGCTAAGTTCTTCTTTTGAGTCCTTAATCTATCTCCTGCTGAAGATCTCTAAACTCAAGTCGGAGTTGGCAACCTACCTCTTCTGAAGAACTCATTTTGCTACCAGTTAATCCTGGAACCATGGGATTCATCAAATGGATCCGCTTTGAGTAGCCAAGTGCAGGGAGATACTGAGGGGGGAGAAAGAAACACACCAAGCAGCTATTACTATGAATTCCTCCTCAGTTCCCTGATCTCATAGAAGCTGGCTGGCAACTTAACTGTTTCATATATTCCTTCTAATCTTTGTTTTTTTCTACCGATTATATAACTTTTGATATCAATCACAATGTAAACAAAGTTGTTTTTCCCCTAAAGCTTTTCTATTAGCATTATATTGTGAGGCCATTGGATAGGCCCTCCCATCATAAACAGCTGTAAAGTACGGCAATACGTAAAATAACTTTGCAGGTACTGACAGCAACAGGCGTACAGCTACGTGTCTTGAGAGAAGGGAAAGCAAAGGTGATCACACCTTTTCCCTGGTGTTCTCCTTGAGGACATCTTCCCAAGCCAGGAGCTGAGAAAAAGAGACTAGGCCGAAAGCAGCGGGCTGACTGCACAGAAAAGACAGAGAGTGAAGTTTAGGGCTCTCAGGAGGCTAGGATTTGGGAAGGGTTCTAGAGAAAAGGGCTCCCCCTCTCTAAAAATCTAAGTCAAACTTCCCCATTGACTTAACAACTGACTCACAGCCGTGTACGCATAGGGAGAGAACCCAGGGAGCCCAGCCGAGAGCGGGCTCTGGGAGGCTGGGGACCTGAGCAGAGATTTCTTGGGCTGCGCAGTGCTAGGGAGATGTGTAAATTCAGGTCCAATCAAAGCAGAAGGGGTTTCGTGAACACCTTCGAGTTTCAGTATGAGACTCCAAAAACACCCCAGCCTAAGAATAAAAACCACATTGTGAGAATAGGGCAAAACTGCAACAGACCCGTACTCACAAAGCCTGAAATCAACCCCTGGCAGGATCAAGGTATGTAAGTAATTTAACGATAGGTAAGTAAGTAATGATATGTAAGTAACTGAATAGTCTACAGAAAACACAGCGCTCTATATAATAAACACAATCCAGAGCCTCTATAATGTATCTACAACGACTGTGATACGTTTGTAAGTATCAGATGGGGACTGCCAGGGGAGGGGGATCAATGGCGATGGAAGGAGACTTGACTTGGGGTGGTGAACACTCCGTACACTGTGCAGATGATGTGTTTGTGGAATTGTACGCCTGAAATCTGTATAATTTTGTTAACCAGTGTTACCCCAATAAATTCAATAAAAAGGAAAAATAAGTACTAGAGATGGAAAGCAGAAAAAAGTGACTGATTATTAAAACAAAAGCAGAGCTAGAAACCATCCAGATATTAGAATAAGCAGATCAGGGTGTCTCAATAATTATGATTGGTCTGTTAACGGGAATAGAGGAAAGATAGACAAGATGGATAAAAGACAGAGAACTGTACCCAAGAATAAGAATCTACAAAAAGAATCAAATGGAAGTTCTAAAATGGCACAATACAATATGAAATGGATCCAACAGAAGGCAGTCAAACTTGACAAAAAACTTGAGAAAAGTCAAAAGAGCCCTGGCTGGTACAGCTCAGTGGATTGAGGGCGGACCTGTGAACCAAACAACCACGGTTCGATTCCCAGTCAGGGCACATGCCCCTATAAAGATAAAGAAATACAATCTTAAAAAAAAAAAAGTCAAAAGAGAATATCCAAGCTAAAACACAGAGGGAACAATGAAAGGAAAAGAACAGAATGCAAGAGACGTGTGGGGCACAATTAAGAGGTCTAACCTATATATAATTAGGACCCTGGGAGAAGGGAGAGAGAATAGGACAGAAGCAATATTTAAGGAAGTAACAGAGGACAATTAACCAAATCTGATGAAAACATCAACCCACAGATTGAAGAAGCTCAGCAAAATCCAAGCAGGATAAATACAAAGAAACATATAGCAAAAAATATCATAGTCAAATTGTTGAAACCCTGGCTGGTGTAGCTCAGTGGACTGAGCATGGGCCTGAGAACCAGAGGATTGTGGTTCGATTCCCCATCAGGGCACATGCCTGGGTTGCAGGCCAATTCCCAGCGGGGGATGCACGAAAGGCAACCATACACTGATATTGCTCTCCTTCCCGTCCCCTCTAAAGATTAAAAAAAAAAAAAAGACAAACAGATAACCTTAAAAACAGCCCGAGAGAAGATGTATTATCCACAAAGGAGAAACCAACAAGTGACTTTGCAATGGAAACTAGAAGCGATGGGACAACTCTTCAAAGTGATAAAAGGAAAATAACTGCCAACCTAGAGTTTCACACCCAGTGAAAGCAAAGGAAAGATGTTTTCAGACGAAAGCGAGTGGAAAACACTCCTTACCAAGAGACCTGCACTACAAACACAAAATACTAGGGGAGGCTTTTTAGGCTGAAGGAAGATGATCCCAGATGGAAGCACAGAAACACAGAACTGCAGGAAGAAATCAAGAGTAAGAGAAAGGGTGGGTAATGCTAAGTATTCAAGAAAATTGTTTAAATGCAATTATAATAGTCTTCAGGATTTACAATATACATACAGCAGTGAAATATATGACTGCAACTGCAGAAGGGGCAGGAAGGCATTAAATGGAATAGAACAGTGTGTCCTTGCATTGTTGGGAAGTGGTAAAAATACCCAACTGAAACTGTGCTAAACGACAAGATGCGTGTCCCCTCCAGGGCAGGGTGAGCAAAACTTTTCTGTAAAGGGCAAGATAGTAAATATTTGAAGTTTTGTGGGCCACACATATGGTCTTTCCTGCAAACCTTGTTTGTTTTATACCCCTTAAAAAATGTAAAAACCAATCTTAGAGCATCTGAGTAATACATAAATAAGACCTGGGCTGTATGTCTGCTAGAATAATAAAAGAAGGTTGAACTAAAAAGTTAATAGAGAAGATGAAATGGAACAAAGAATACTTGATTAATCAAAAATGTTTACACTGGAAACATTTCCCCATTCACTAAATATATCCAAAAACCACATACAAATATTACATAATATTCCATTGTAAGGCTTTATCATAATGTTTTTAACCAATTCTTTGTCATTTGATCCAACTCTTTGTCATTTGATATAAGATTATTTCCAGACTTTGGCTTTAAATTGATAATGACATACACTTGCATACATAATTCAAGTTGCGCCGTCCAACCCCTGTCCAGGAATTTTTGCCAGCAGTGTTTGCTCTCCACGCCTGCCAGTGTGAGGTTTTGAGATGTTTTCAAAAATACTAACCACTTCTCAAAAGCCCTTTTCAACTCACTCAAGTTCTTTCCCAGGGAAAAAAAATACTATGGGCTTGTGCTAATTTCCTCCTTTAAGCCCTGCTAAACCTCATCTGAGAGATGAGTGGTTTACGTAAGATCCAGAGCAAACAGGCCAAATGCTGTGGGAAAGGAGACCAGTGCCCTTCCCCGGACACTGAGCTATTAGGAAAGAGGAACATCAAATAGGTCTGGGGCAGCTTTCCGCTAGAAGCAAAAGCATAAACTTGTGTGTCCCACAGATCTGGGTGCTAATTCCTGCTTGGTCACTAACTGATACACGGGACAACTTTCTATCCTTAGTTTTCTCATCTGTAAAAGAAAGGGAAATAATACTTACCATACAATATGATTATGAGTGGTGGGACTGGCATTTTCAGTAACTTTTAATTGCACACCTCTGAGGCTCAAGAGAAAAAAAGATGGGAAAAAGGATACTAACCTTCTCTGCAAAGGTGAAAATCTTTCTCTGATCAATGCCTCCAAATTGCGCATCTACTTTCAAATACTCTTCATCCAAGGCCTGTGGACAGAAACACGGGAGCATGAACTCCTACTGTATTTCTTCTGCACGTATCTGAGCAATTGGAAACTTCTGAAAATCACTACGCTTTTCAGAAGGTAGAGGCAGGAAGCAACTGAGCAGCGACCAGGCTCCGTGTCGGCCTCCAGAGCCGCATCAACCCTTGCTGAGCGCCTTCAGTGAGCAGTGCTCCACACGGAGGCCCTGGGGTGAAACAAGTCTCTGCCCACAGGAAGCTCACCGTCCAGCGGGGGAGAGAGGTAGAGACGACAAACTACGGTCATGTCAAGGTACTCCCTGAATAATGCAGCCTATGAAAAATGGTAAGTAAGTGGCAGAAAAAGGTGCTGAGCGAGCTCAGGGAAAAAGGCAAGGCTGAGCTTGTAAACAAAGAGTCACTGTCACTTACTGCGTGCCAGGCCTGGTGCCAGCCCTGTGCACGATGCAGAGATGAATCAAACCCAGACTACGCCTTCAAGAAGCCAGTTACCCAGTTGAGGAGAGAGACATGTAAACAGATAACTTCAGTACAGTGTGCTGAGGGCTAACCTAGATGTTCATTTCAAGAACAGTGCTAACACAAAGAAAGAAATGACTATCTGGATCTGGTCAGACAGGTGGTGGTAAAGGCTTCCTAGAATCAGACTGTGGGCTGAACTTGGCTTAGAAGAACCTCTAGGTGGTTTTCACCACGCAGCGGAAACAGAATGTGAGACGGCACAGAGGTGTGAAGTGTTTAGGGAAACTGTGAGAGATTCAGTCTGCGAAAGCACAATTTCCAAGGGATGTGGGAAGTGGTTAGTGATAATGACATCAGAAAAAGTAGGTAAGGACCCTGAATGTCAAGTTAGGGTGCCTAGCATTGTCCCAGCTGGTGAGTGGGTTTAAGGAAGGGAGAAACATGACCTGCACTGTAGAAAGATCACACCAGTGAGATGGCAGAGCTTGGAGTGGAGGCCTATGAGCTGGAGACAAAGCAAGTATCTGGAAAGCTGCTGTGAGAGTCCAGGTGACAAATAATGATAAAGTTGGTCAGTGGGGACACAAAGCAAGGCTGAATTTAAGACATTTTTTTTTTTAATTTTTTAAATTTATTTATCTTTAGAGGGGAAGGGAAGGAGAGGGGGGTTGGGGCTTGACATTTTTAAGAAGTAGAATTGGTAGCTTGGCTGGCGTGGCTCAGCGGATTGAGCCCCCATGTTGGGAACTGCCCTGACTGGTTTCAGAAGCTATAACCCCCCACGGCTAAGGCTGAGCAAAGAGACCTTGGGACCACAAACCACTAAGGAGACAAAGCTTATCCTCCCAGCAGGGGCACTGCCTCTGCCCCCTTTTACTTCACCCAGCTCGGCCCCAGACGGATGACTGGTTAGCCAATGACGGGTAAGATTCCTTAAGGGAGGGATGACCTAAGACAGGCATGGTCATAAAGAGGCTGCTCTCAGGGAAGGACTGGGGGGGGGGCTACAGAAAAAGGGGGTGATGGGCCCTCAACCCTTGGCTTTGACATAGCCTGAGTCCTCATTCTGTCTGCAAGAAGTCTCCTAATCTCTTGGTTGCCTTACTTCCCCAGCCTGACTTGAGCCCGAAACAATGCCAGAGGGCGGTGTAGCCTTGGGCAGGAATGCATGGTTCCCCAGGGGCCATCAGGCCCAAGAAAGAATATAAGAAATCCTGTGAAACCGGCTTTGCTAAGAATGCCCTCAATTTTCTGATAAGGGTCCAAGCATGACATGAGTTTGTTTCCTAAAGTTTTATGGCCCTTTAGCTAACTGACCCTGACTCAGAATAAATCCTTACAGTTCCTGGAATGTTACCTGTTACTTGATCATTACTGCCTGACAATGATAAATGAAGACTTTCCTTGAGGTAATGCTCTCAGAAAAGCAATAAAAGCCTGTCCAGGCCAGGGTAAGGGTGCTCGCTCACTCAGAGAATGGTCATGCCATCCCTTTTCTCCACAGGACTTCTGCAGACCATGTGATTTTGTTTGTTACATCCACAACACCATGGACACCGCTGGCCGGAATCCACATCAACCCGGCCTGTGAATTGAAAGGCTGCTGATTCGATTTCCGGTCAGGGCACATAACTGGGTTGCGCAGTTGGGGGTGTGTGGAAGGCAATCAATCGATGTATCTCTCACATGTTTCTCTCCCTCCTTCTCACTCCCTTGCCCTCTAAAAGTAAATAAATAAAATTTTTCAAAAAACGAAGTAGAACTGATATAATTCAGTGTCTGGCTGGATGGAGGGAAGAGGAAGGAGAGCTAGAGAAAGATGGGCAGGCAGGAAGAGTCTAGAACAGCACTGTCCAATAGATCTTCCTGTGATAATGAGCATGTTCTATATCTGTGCTGCCCAACACTGTAGCCACTAACCACACGTGACTTGCGAGTGACTGACATTTAGCCAACGTGACTAAAAACTAAATTTTTAACTTTAAACATTTAACAGCCACTTCTGGCTAAGACTAGAGGCTACCACAGCAGACAGTGCAGATCTAGAATGTCTCCAGGTTTAACTTGTGGAAAGATCAAGTGGCAGTGAAAAGGGAAGAATGATTTCCTTCTGCCAAACATTACAGAAATATGCAAAGAAAAAGTTAAGTCTATCTACATTTTCATCCTGCTTCCCTCAAGTAACCAGTATTACCAGCGGATTTGTATTTTCCCATCATTCTCCTTACTCACTACACACATTCAAAATAGGATGTGCTTGTTTTATTTAATAGAAAATAGGATCATGCCTAAAATGTACTTTTCACACATTGCTCTGAAATTAATTTTTTCAGGGGGAGGGAGAAAGAGAGGGAGAGAAACATCAGCGTGCTTGCCTCTTGTGTGCCCCTTACTGGGGACCTGGCCCACAACCCAGGCATGTGCCCTAAATGGAATCCAACCGTGACCCTTTGGGGTTCCCAGGCTGGCACTCAATCCACTGAACCAAACTAGCCAGGGAGGCTAGAAATTAATTTTCAATGAAGAGACTGATCAACTTAAAGAAGGTTCACAGGATAAGCAGTGTTTTAAAGGAGAGACAGGTAGGGGAGACTCACAGCTGAAAAAGTCAAAGAGGGTTCTTCTAGGAAATGGAGGCATGGGGAGAAGGGGGGAGACAAAGAGGGCCTACAGCACCGGTGGCAAACACAAGGATCGAGGGCTGAATCCCACCCTCCACCTTGTTTCATCCGGCCCGGCACCTTGTTTCTACCTGGTGGCAGTGCCAAGCTCCCACCTGACTGTTAAGGAGTAGTTCCATTTATACAGTCCTACAATTACATTCGGCCCTTTGAAGGCAACCGCGAGGCTGATGTGGCCCCCAGTAAAAATGAACTTGACCCCCCTGGCCTACAGCACGGTGAAGGAGCAGCAAGTGCACCAGTTTAACCAGGCTTTGACCGGTGGTTAGAAACAGAACAGAAAGGGTCACTGGGCAACTCCATCCCTCGCAAGTACCTGGAGTCCGGGGTACAGCAGACCACTCAGCAAAGGGTGCTCCACCTGCTTCACCACCTCAGCTCCCGCTTTCTTGGCGTCATGCTGCGTGACCACAGAGGAGAGTCTGTACACATCGAGTGTGTATTCTCTGATGAGGAGAGGAAGGGGGACAGCTAAGAATGGGCCCAGGACTTGGTTTAATCCTAAAGCTCATGAATTCACTCTCCTAATCTTAACACACTTCAGGAGAGCTCTGAAATGTGAGTGACCCAACCTCTCATTCAAAATACTATTCCCTTTTTATGTCTTCTTTTTAAAAGATGGCTTTAATTCATCTTTTTCTTCACTTATCTTTTAAAATACTGCTTTTCTGCCATTCCCCTCCATTGTCTTCTGGAACACCTATTAACTGAACATCAGAATTTCTCAGTCTATCTTTAATGTCTTAAGGACAGTGTACCCATTACTTAGTTTAGGAAAAAGAACCTACATGCTTCTTTTTTTGTTTGTTTATCATGTCACAGTTGTCCCAATTTCCCCCCCTTTGCCCTCCCCTCCACCCAGCCCACCCCGTTCCCACAGTCAGTGCCCACACCATTGTCCATGTCCGTGGGTCACTCACACATGCTCTTTGCCCCTTCTTTCCACCCCCACCCCGTGCACCGCTCCACAACCCTATTCCACTGTCTCCTCTTCCACAGTAACCACTACCCTCAACTTCTGTCTCTTTCCAATTTTATAGTATTTACATCTCTAAATGATGTTGTAAACATTCTTATATGTGTATCCTGTGCAAGTTCCTTTATATCATGCACATGTGATGTACATGTATACATGTACAAGTGTACATGTACAAGTTCCTTTATATCATGCCTAGACGTAGAATTGCTGGATCACAGGGGATTTGCATCTTGAACTTAGTAGGTAATACTAAACTATTTTCCAAAGTGGTTTTTATCAATTTTTCTTAATATTATAATTTTATTTTACTTTTAAAAGACTTTATTTATTTATTTTTAGAGAAAGGAGAAGGGAGGGAGAAACGGAGAGAAACGAAAACTCAGTTGGTTGCCTCTTGCACACCCCCAACTGGGGACCTGGCCCGCAACGCAGGTATGTGACCTGACCCGGAATCAAGTCTGAGACCTTTTGATTTGTGCGATCATGCCCGCAAACCAAACCAGTCAGGGCTGGTTCAATTCTTGATAAAAGTCCTCAAAGACCCAGGCAGGTGGCCAGAAGTGCCCCATATACCAGCTCTACTTTCTTTGAGGAGTAGGAACGAGAACGGAAAAGGGGGGAAAGCCCTACTTTATCCTCTGCATTGGAGCGGAAGCCGGTTTATCCCCACTGCCCACTTCCAGAAGACCCCAGCAGACCCGTAACTTCTGCCCAATTCACCGAGTTGCATTTCCATCCTTTCTCTTACCATAGAGCTGGTCAGCTTGTTTTTGAACCTGGCTATGAGGTTTGGTTTATTTTTAACTGTCACTGCCGTGTTTGGAATAGAGGAGTGCGTCAAGGCGTGCACTGACAAAGCCGACTTCCTTTGAAGTCACTTTTCTATATAGGAAAAAATCAAGTGACTTTGTGGCAAGATAGTTTTATGTATCCCACCTTTATTCTAGGAGAATAAAAACCTTGCCTGAGTTTGCAGATAACAGTGTCTGGCATATACTAAGAACTCAATAAAATGTTTGCTCGACTTGCTCTCACCTTTGTCAGGCCTTGTCTGGTATCATCACAGCGATCTCTAACCGTTCTGTTTAAACAGAAAACCCCGCCCTTCTGCCTGCTTTCTAGCACCTGTCACCATATCGTGAGCGCTCCCTAAATATCTGCAGAATAAATGTAAAAATGAGTGAAATCTCAGGCACTCTATCGAGGCTGTAGATTCAAATATTTGTTAACATAAGGGTGTTTATATGCTTTATTTAAAACTCTAAATGACCAACAGTGGGGAACAGTAAAGAATACTGTGTTAGATGAAGTAAAAGGAGACATTAACTTGTAAGTGAGAGATGTGAGTTCATATCCTGGCTCTTCTACTTGCTGGCTGTGTGAACTGAAGACGAAATTTATTTCCTTACCTGTGAAATGGGATGAAACAACGCTTACCCTGAAAAGTTGTTCTTAAGGAAAGTGACTAGGAGAGTGATACATGCTTATTTGAGAGATTTTAAAAATTAAAAAAAATGTGGAGGCTATAAGGCAACAGAAAACTGTCAAGTTAAAAAAAAGTAGGACACAATTATATGTATGATAATTACAAACATGAATAAAACTGACAAAGATAAGAAGCCACAAAAGTTGCTCGGAAGGTGAAAAACAAGTGAACTATTTTTCTTTCACATTCCTTTGATCAGTATTTGCTGAGGCTGGAAGGAGGAAGGGAGGCTGCATTGCTCATCACTCTTCTCCCAGATGCTGTGAGCTCTACAAGAGCCAAGGACTCTGTTTTGGTTACATCTACATCTCCAGCAAACAGGAGAGTGAGTACCTAGGCATTTACTAGTCCGTATATTTTTGATGGATGAATTAAAAGGACAAAGGGTATACATTTTTAAATGGTTAACAGGCAGAGCCAAACAGCTTCTAATCCAAATGGGAGAATGCCTAGACTTCACAGGCCTGTAATTAGCTAGGAGCCTTGGAGCCGCGAGGAGGGTGGAGGATCAAGCACTTACTTGCTGAGCTGGTAATCAGTGCCTTTGATGAACTTGAGCTTCTCCAAGGGCACCCCAATGCTGTCCAGCATTGCCTTGATCACATTCTCATAGTAGCTGGTTCGGAGTTCTAGGAGTTCCCAAGGGGCTTTCATGTTATCCAGGTACGCATGAAGGTCCGCAAACAGAATTGTTACCTGGACATAAGAGATAAGGGACCACCCGAAAGTGAATTTGTCCAAGCACCTCCCAACCCTCCTCCCTGCCCTACCCTTATCAAGTCTTTCTTTTGGCCATTTCCCAAGGGCAACTGCTTGGTTTAAAACATTACTTCTTACCTCACACCCTGCTTTCAGGAAGTCTGCGATCTTGGACATAGGCACGAAGTAAGCCACGTGTGGCTTGCCTGTGGTCGCTGTTCCCCAGTAAACTTTAAGTTCCCGCTCCTTCAGTATCTCCTTCAGCTTCTCTTCCCCCAGAACCTCCTGTTGTGGAAGCAGAAGAACTGGTTTAATGCTGGTGCCCCACCTTGCTCATCCATTACCCTGTGACAAGGAAAACAAAGGCGTGTGTCACTGGGGGGCCAGGCTCAGAGCCAGCAGCAGGGCGTCCAGCCATGCTTAGTGCAGAGTGACAGCCAGTCTAAGTTGGCGTTGTTGCTTGAACCACTCCAGTGAAACGACACGGAAATTAGGGAAATGGGATATTTCTCCAATTACGTCTTCCTGACCAACTACCTCTAACACACGCTCCATCCTTTCAAAGCCAACTTCTTGAAATAGTTACCTCTTTGTTGGGTCTCCATTCCTTATCTTCCACTTGAGTCTGAATTCCATACAGCAGCACACCACTGACAACGCTCTTGCTAAGGTCACACCTGGTCTCCGAGTTGCTAATTCAATGAAGACTTCTGAATTTTTACTCCCTTCCCGAGACACTTTCTTCTTTCTTCCTCTATTTCATTATCAGTTTTCTTCCTATTTCTCTGGCTGCTGGAACTTAAGATTTTTTCGCATCTGTTCTTCTCCCTAATCATTAAATATCAGCAATTCTTGCATCCCTACCTCTTCTTACTCTGCATTCTCCTTGATGCCCTTCAGTGGCTTCAGTGACTACTCAAGAGCTAGTATCTCCCAAATCTCCTGCTCACGCCCGTACGTAGAACTGTGTCCGAGGAGGCACCCCCCCAAAAACCAGAATCATCTTCTGGAGGGTGGGCCTCCTGTAGTACAGGCTTCCCCTCCTACGTAAGTGTTCTAGGAAACCAGCTGGCATTGTGAGAGGCTGCATTCAGCTCTAGTAAATTTTTTTGAAGACTCTTTCAATGTGTTTGCCCATTTCATGATGAGTGATTTATGAGTGGGTGCACCTGCCCACACCATACTTGAGTGTTCAGCAGTTTCTGACCAAAAAACCAACACGGTCCCCACGCTCCCTTCTACCTATTCACTCGATCTCACCCCAAGCGACTTTTTTTTGTTTCCCCGGATGAAAAAAGTCCTCACAGGGAAACATTTTGCTGATGTGGATGAGGTGAAACAGAAATGGCGGAAGCACTAAAAGGCACAAAATGAAGAATTCAGAAACTGTTTTGAGCAGTAGAGGAAGTTCTGGTCAAGATGGAGGCATAGGTAAACATGGCTCGCCGCCCTGTACAATCACATCAAAATTATAACTAAACTATAGACTAACCATCACTCAGAACCATCAGAAATCGAAAGCCCTGGCTGGTGTGGCTCAGTGGATTGAGCACCACCCTGTGAACCAAAGGGTCACTGGTTTGATTCCCAGTCATGGCACATGCCTGGGTTGTGACCCAAGTTGTGCCCCCAGTAGGGGGTACATGAGAAGCAACCACACATTGATGTTTCTCTCCTTCCCTTCCCCTCTCTAAAAACAAATAAATAAAATATATATAAACAAAGAAATCGAGTCGAATGGAAGTCTGACAACTATGGAATTAAAGAAACTACATCTATCCAGACTGGTAGGAGGGATGCAGATGCAGAGACGCTGAATGGGCTGGTCCCACACCCACATGTGGTGGATACAGATTCAGGAGGGCTACCTTGGGAGCGAGGAGTCCTGCCCCACACCAGGCCCTCCAGCCCAGGGTGTTCCAGTGCCGGGAAGTGAAGCCCCCATAACTTTTGGCTGCAAAACCCAGCAGGGATTCAGCTGGTGAAAGTAACTAGGAATCCCAAGCAATTCCTCTTAAAGAATCCTCGCAGACTTGGACTCACTCCCTCTAAGATCTGGCACTGAGGCAGCAACTTGAAAGGCACCAGTGGCACATGGAGAGGAACTGAAGGGTTTGGCATCAAGATGAGAGCTGGGTGACAGCTTTCTTCCAGAGAGAAAGGCTGGCAGAAGCCATTGTTCCTTTTCTGAACCCTCCCCCAACAAAGCCACAGAGCCAGCAGGTGGGTTCCATAGCTGAGACTCCATCAACCTGGCTAACACTGTTTGCCCAGCACTAGAGATCCACAGAGGTTTCCTCCCACCCAACTACAGGCCCACCCAAGCTGCTTTTCCATATGAATGGCTGGTCTTGGCTCATATTTCACAACTTTCTAAATCCTATCAAATAAGCAACAGTTGGCCTCAGAGAGCTCCCAGCCCCTGAACCTCTTGCTAAGTGGCCCCAGGCACAGCACTAGCAGCAGCCAGCTTAGGTTCACAACTTGGCTTTGCCTGGGAACCTCCAAGCCCCACACAAGTAGCGGCCATCTGCAGATTGTTTTGTAGCTCATGCAGGGTGGCCCTGGGCAGAACACAGGTCAGGGCCATCTTTGGCCTGTACCACCCGAGAAACCCCAGAGCCAGCACATCTAGTGGGCAGCTACAAACCACACTGGAGCACCATCATCGTGCCCCTGCACAGCTGATCCTCCAGAGGGCAGAGGTTAGTGGTCAGTGGCCACAGCCAGTTCTTGCAGCTGACGGGCCTGGGTAAATCCCTCGGGCAATGCCCCGGGCATTGACCTGCCAACAGCAACCAACGCTCAGCTACAAGAGGAGGGTGTACTCAGCCCACATGAAGGGTGTACCTCAAGTACCCAGCTTGGGTGATAAGGGAGGCTGTGCCACTGGACCCTACAGGACATCTGCTACATTAGGCCATGCCACCAAGACAGGGAATAACAGCATGGAGACAAACACAGGGAGGAGACAAACACAGGGAGGAGACAAAGAAACATGGCCCAAGGGAATAACAGGTCAAAACTACAGAAAATGAACTAAATAAAATAGAGATTAGCAATCTGTCAGATGCAGAGTTCAAAACACTGATTATAAGGATGCTCAAGAAACTTAGTTGGTAAAAGGTGAAAGATTTATGCAATATGAAGAGAAACCAGAGTATCAAGAAACTTAGTTGGGCCCTGGCTAGTGTGCCTCAGTGGATTGAGCTCAGGCCTGCGAACCAGAGGATCACGGTTCGATTCCCAGTCGGGGCACATGCCTGGGTTGCAGGCCAGTTCCCGGCAGGGGACGCAGGAGAGGCAACCATACATTGATGTTTCTCTCCCTCCCTTCCCCTCTAAAGATAAATAAATAAATTTAAATAAAATTAAAAAAAAAAGAAACTTAGTTGGGACCTCAACAGCATAAAAAAAGATTCAGTCAGAAGTGAAGGATACACTAATTGAAATAAAGAACAATTTACAGGGAAACAACAGTAGAGTGGAGGAAGCTGAGAACCAAACCAATCACTTGGAACATAAAGAAGCAAAAAAAAAAACACCCCAACCAAGCAGAACAATAAGAAATATAATCAATCAAATATAATAAAAAGAAAACTGTTTTGAGCAGTGGAAAAACCATCTGGATGGGTGGATTGCATCAAATGAAGAGCACTCTGAAGGTGACTGAAATTTAAACATGTAAGAATAAATACACATTTTTAAATAAATAAATTCTATTTTGGGGGGGTCTACCCTCACACCTGTCAGTAATCCAGTTAATTCAAACTCAGTGTGCTCAAAATTAAACTCATGCTCTCACCTTTCTGCCTTACCCCCCAACCACCCCTTTCTCTTACGGTTTCCCCCTCGTTCAGTAAATGGTACTATCACTCACTCAGCTGCACAAGTTACTCCGAAAGAGCTCTTACACCCTCCTGCTTCTCTCTTCCTCTATTCCACCAACCTAGTCTGGGCCACCATCAGCTTACACCAAGATACTGTAGCAGCTTCCTTACAGGTCTCCCACATCTACTCTTTTTTTTTTTTTTTTTTTAAGATTTTATTTATCTTTAGAGGGGAAGGAGAGAGGGAGAGAAACATCAATGTATGGTTGCCTCTAGTGCATCCCGTGCTGGGAACTGGCCTGCAACCCAGACATGTGCCCTGACTGGGAATTGAACCGAGATCCTCTGGTTCACAGACCTGCGCTCAATCCACTGAGCTACACCAGCCAGGGTTCCCACATCTACTCTTGTTCTCTGCAATCCATGCTCCAAAAGGCAGCCAAAGAGCTCTCTAACACCCCAAATCTGATGAACTCATTTACCTGTTTAAATTCTTTAATAATTCCCATTTGCCCTACGACATGCTGAGATACTCCTAACAGTCCAGTACGCTGCAGATAAAAAGAGATTTTAGTGTTTCTTCAAGGACGACTGGGGAGGCTGTTGGACTCATGGTAACAAATCCAAGGATATTAGCAGGACTTATTAAAATTCTGTGCTCCAAGCTGGTTGGAGATTGATCCTGCATCCTCCAAGCCCCTCTTTGGACACTTGGAGGTTCTTGCCACCCAAGGAAAGGTCGTATCACTCACCCTTTAAAATCCGAGTGAGTCAATGCCCTTAGCTTTGTGTATCCTCTATTCCTAACCAACACTATTTTATGGAGAAAGGCTAGGAAACAAAGGAACTGACTAAGGGGAAGCATGCAAGAATCTCTGGTTAAGATCAAGTTATGAGTGGAAATAACCCACATGTCCATCAACTGGTGAATGGATAAACAAAACACAGTTAACCCATATAATGGAATATTATTCAGCCATTAAAAAGGAATGAGGTTCTCATAGGGATAAGAGCATGGTAGAACTTTGGAAATAATACGCTAAATAAGAGATGCCAAACACAAAGACCACATTTTGCATGATTCCATTTATACAAAATGTCCAGAATAGGCAAACAACACATAGAGACAAAGTAGATTAGTGTTTCCCTAGTTTTGGGGGGAGGAGAGAAATGGAAAGGGATTGCTAAGGGATATAGGTTTTTTGAGAGTGACGAAAATGTTCTGGAATTAGATAATAGTGATAATTACACAACCTTGTAACTACAATAAAACTCACTGAATTTTACACTTTAAAAGGGTGAATTTTATGGTATCTGAATTGTATCTCGAAAAAAGCTGTGTCCTAATCATCGCTCTTAGAATAAAACCCCAATTTTACACAGGCCCACAAGGCTCTCGTGACCTGGCCCCTGCTACCTCTCCCAAATAAACAAGTACCAAGTATGGCGACAAGTTCTATGAAGAAACAACAACAACAAAAAAGGCAGAACAGGGGATGAGGCAGTTCTGGTGGCAGGGAATTTGTTATGAAAACATGTGGTTCAGGAAAGGCCTTCCAGATAGAGGTGACAATAGTCAGAGGCCTGAAGGAGGCAATGGAATGAGCAGTATGAGCAATACATGGAAATACTTATATTTGCTCTCTACTCCAGTCCAGTTAGCCTTCTCTCTGAATCAGTGTTCTTTCCCTCCTCTGAGTCTTGATTTGGGTTCCTTCTACCTGAAATGTATCCCTGCACCCCATTCTTTCGCTGGTTAACTTCTACTCCTGCTGTTCCTGGAAACAGTAGGAACTTTGTGGAGTGAAGAGGGATGCGCATCCTTCAGGGCTTTTGGGGCGCAGTTTGGAGGACACTTCCTCAACCTTCCCTGACCAGCCCTTCACCTTAATTTCATTTCAAAGTCCCATGTAGTAACTTCCAGTACTTTCTTTGGTTGTAATTAATTGTATGGGTTACAGGTCATTTTTAACGTCTCATTCTTTACGGACAAGCTCTGGGAAGGCAGGGCCTTGGCATATCCCCATCCCCAGCGCCTAGCACGTAATAGTAGGTGGGATGGGAGTTAAGCCTATGTGATTTTTGTGGTACCCAGATACTTGACTGAGTGAATGACCGATCAACATTGAGAACTGCAGGCTGTCTCACTGCTGCCTTGGCGTGGATCCCGGGCCCCAGAGACTTAGTAGTGGGGTTCAGGATCTCTAAATCTTAGGTCCCCAGCGACACGTTTTCAATTCTAAGGCCCAACCTGCAGGTTCCGTGTGATAAGGTGCAGCTTCTCTTCTGGGCTCGGAGCATCCCCCATGTCTCCGTCCAGCACCCCGCACCCTTTTCCTCAGTCGTTACCGCCGCCGCCGCCGCCGCCGCCGCCGCCGCGTGCCGGGAAACGTTCTGCAGGTCTAGTAAGGTTGCATCAGCTGAGCTCGTTTCTCGGCTTGCTAGGCTTGGACCTTCCGCCTGGAAGTGGTCCGAAGTCAAGAGCAGAAGAAAGTCGAGTGGCTCGATGGGACGAGAAGAGGCGGAGCTTGTAGAGGGGTAGGCGGTGCGGAGGGCGGGATTACGGAGCCTGCGGGGCTCCACCCTCTGGGAGGCGGGGCGTCTCCCTGCCAATCACTGCCTGTTTGCCCACCCCCTGGAGCTGCCGGGGCTGCCTTAGGGTGGGGGAGGTCGGGGAGAGGGGCGATAAAATGGCGCAGGGGGCGGAGTGAGGCGAGGTCTTTCGCCCAGGCTTCGGCCCGGCTTCCGGAGGTGAAGAGTGGGAGGGGCGAGGGGTCGGCATTCCCTGGCTGGAAGGAGGATGGGGGCGCCTGTTGCTTCTTCTGGGGACCGCGTACGCTGTCCGCCCCATTAAGGGGGTTGGGAGTCTCTCACTCTGCTGGGAGAAGGGCTCGTTTTCGTTCTTGAGGTGATGGCGGCGGGAGGGAAGAGGAGGGGAGTGTCCCTGCCCCCACCTCCACGTCGGCGGGCTATAGGTGCCCCTCACCCTGCAGAGGAAAAGGGAGGTTGTTCGGCGGCCTGAGAGGCGGGGAGTGACGTCGGTTCTCCCAGCCTAGGCGGGATGGGGAGGGATGGAAGTGTAAGCGGGTGGGTGATGCCGCTATGCCGCTGCCCCCCTGGACCACTGCGGGATGGTTGTAGCTGGGGAGGAGATAGTGGTCTTTCTGCCGCGCCTGCTGGGTGGGGGAAGGAGAGGATGACCTGCCACTCCGGGGGGCGGGGGCCTTGGTCCCGCCGCGATGTGTAAGCGGGTAGCCATCCTCAGGAACAGGGGTGCTGGCGCTGGCTCGCCGACGGTCCGCTTTTGCCCCTGTTGGGGGAGGGGCGGAGATCAAGCCAGAGCTTCTCCCGCCTTCCACGGGGAGGCGGGAATTACCGGTCTCCACGGAGCTGGGAGGAGGGAAGTGCCAAGGCCATGTCCCGGGGCGATGCTGTTCTGGCGGCTGTGGCATTTCTAAGGCAGTGCTGGAGGAGGTCAAGCGGCAACCTCCAAAGGGTGTATTTGGGCCACTCTTCCTCCTGGCTCTCAAGAACTGGAGGTGTCCACCATTTCCTTCCTGGGCCGGAGGGAGGGCAGTTGGAACGCAGGGTGGGCCCAGAAAGTGATTGAATTGCCCACCTGGTACCCCCCCCCCGACTTTAAGTTTCTTGTGGATGTGTTACAGGCTCCAGGCTTTAGCAAACATGTCTAAATTAAATTTTTTAATTTTCTTAAAAAGAAACCTGTTGCTGCGGCTTAGAGATTGGTCTTCCATGTCTGCGTGGGAGGAGTGCCTGGGGCCCTCAGCAGAGATTTCCAACTCTGGGTTGTTTTTCTGTCCTAGAGCTTTTTCAGATACCTCAAAGGGAGTTGCGCAATTCTTACAGATGATTGCAGCTCCCTTTGATCTTGTTTAAACTTTATATCTGTCCCTTTTATAGGGTAGTAAAACCTACGGAGTGCAAGGCATATGCACTGGGAATGAAAGGCCAGTGGGGAAGTCCTGTCCCTTGGAAACAATCCTTGCTCATATCTGTCAAATCCACCTTGGCAATGCTCTTAGTTTTAGAGCCTTGAAAGAGGGATATGGGGTCGTGGCTGGTGTTGCAGTTTTAGTGGCCTGAATAAAACAAAGCTTTGTGCTTTAAGGCAGTAGGTTTCTTAGGTATGATAAAAATAGGAAGGGAACCAGTTTCTGAGGTTGCAACCGGGAGGTTAGAGAACAGGCAGGGTGGGCGTGGTAAACTGAAGTGTGAAGAAGAAGGGGGTGGACAAGTGAGAGACGTGGAGGGACAGAATAGGGTCACAGAAGGGGTGGGGAGCAGAGGAATTGAGAGAGTTGGGAGGTGGGGAAAATATTCTTCCTTTAAAAATAAAGAGATTCTCATATTTTTGGTGGAGCTTATAAAGTAAGTACCAAGAAGGGCAGGTGCTGGTGCAGTGGCAGACAAAAGCACTAAGGCAGGCAGTCTTGTGGAACTTTACTTCAGAACTTCAGTTTTATGTGAGATTCCCCCCCCCCCCCCGCTTGCAAATTCATGAAATACCAACTTACGTTAGTATAGGGCTTTTAGGGTTAGACTGCTTTCATAAACTTGTCCTCATTTGAATCTCATGATGGCCTGCGAATGAAGTTAACAGTGAATAATTCCCACTTTTTCAGATGTGTATTCTCATCTGTATTAAGGTTCAGAGACTTCAAGTGAATTGCTGATGTTTCTGAATTTTAGTTGAGCTCCGCTCTATTAGATTGAACAATTGAAGATCTAACAGTCTTCATTTGTTAGTTTGCAGAATCTGCCCGCAGTTTAGATGTCCTCACAACCTGGCCTTTAATTTAGTGACAGAATGGTTGAATGCTGGGTTAAACTAGAAGAGATGAGGTGTCTAACCTTCTGGCATCACTGGGCCACACTGAAAGAAGAGCTAGCTGTCTTGGGCCACATGTGAAATACACAAACACTAACAAAAAATGATGAGCAGAAAAATAGGTTTTAAGTAAATTTGCGACTGTTGGGCCGCATGCAGCTAGCAGCCGTGGGTTGGACACCATGCTAGAGCATACTGGGTAGTTTCTCAACAAGCAAGGACTAGAAGTTCTGTACCAGTTTAGCATTCTTTTTCCTGTCATTGGTATGCTTCTCTTAAGACCCTTAAGGGGTCAGAGAGGTGATGTGCATGGAGGGAAGTAGTATCATCGATAGCCACTACTTAACTCAGCCTTTACATTGTGCCTGTGGTGTGCTAAGTGTTTTGTGTTCATGATCGCATTTAATTCCCCCAACAACCCCATTTTACTAGGGAGGACATTTGAAACTTCAAAAGGTAGTCATTGTATTCCCCACTGACTTCTCATTTAAAAATGTTTTTATTATTAAATATTTATTTAAAGCATATAACATTATAGAAATGAATACCATGATACCCACCATTTAGCTTTATCTTCCATTGCCACATTTGTTTTAGGGCTTTGTTTTGTTTTGTTTTGTTTAAGAAAACAGGTAGCTCTTATGTCCCCAGCCATTCCTCTTCCCTCCCCATGACCAGAAACAGCCACTGTCCTGAATTTGGCGTTTCTTATTTGTATGCATGTTTTTATAATTTAGTGATATATATGTATCTATGCATACACAATTTGTGGCATTGTTTCTTTAACAACTTACAAGAAAAATGGGGAATCTATAGATTAAAATACAAGACATCAGCCAATTGCGATGTATGGGCTGTATTTGGATATTGATTTTTAAGAATCTTTAAAAATATATGACATTTATAGAATGATTAGAAATCTAAACCAGATACTTTATGATAAGGACTTCTTGTTATTTACAAATAAAATGATGTGATGCCTGGGATTTGCTTCAAAATAATCTGGTCGAGCGAGGAGGTGGATGGGGTAAGACTAGCAATATGTGGATGATAGTTGTTCAGGTTGGGTGATGGGTATGTGGGGGATTACATTATATAATTATGTTATTTTTGCATATGTTTTAAATTATGAGTATGTTTTTAAATGGGGAAGTAAAATTAGGAGAATGATTTGTGCAACTTAAAAATTGTATGTATATGGTATTGTAGTGCATGGTTTTGCTTCCAGCCCCGTTGGAACATTCTGGGAGCGAAGCTCAAAAGAGCCAGCTCTGCGGCTCTGGATGTCAGCGTGGCATAGGAATTGATGTTTCCAGTGGTTGTGAAGGATGTTGTTCTTGAGTGTGCACAGTGAAGTAATGATGTGTTTCTTCCAGTGAGTTTTGGCCCCATTCAAGGGTATTTCTCATGTTCTTCCTTTCCACTGGGAAGCCAAGGGAAGCCTCTGCATAATAAAATGGCTTAAATTAGTTTTGCCAAGGCACAGAAGCCCTCACTGGTGTCCCCATCTTTCATGTATGTTAGAGGGTGTAGTGGATTTAGAAGGCTCAGCCATTTGCTGACTAACCCTAGGCAAGTCTGCCACAAGGGTAAAAGAAGAAAAAACATTGCCTTTGGAATTAGTCTTGAGTTTGGGTCCTTGTTCTAGCATTATTACTTCCGTGTATTTGGTTAAGTTACAGTATGCTTCTGAACTTTGGTTTCCCAAGAGTGAAAATCTATTGAACTCCTAATTTGGTCAAGCAGGTGCTTGAACTAGACCTTTTGGAAGGAGTTGGAGTGAAAGTAGGGGTAGGGGCCCAGAAGGGGCTTCTCTGAAATGGAGTTGCTTAAACCCAGTGTCTGAGGTACTTGTGATTGACAGCCACAAACTTTAAGTGAAAAAGAAATTTCCAAAAGTAAAATTTTCTTCTGCCTAAAGAAATAACTTTTAAAAAACTCAGGCCCTGGCTGGCGTGGCTCCGTGGATTGAGCTTGGGCCTGCGAACCAGAGTGTCACGGTTCGATTCCCAGTCAGGACACATGCCTGGGTTGCAGGCCAGTTCCCAGCAGGAGACCCACAAGAGGCAACCATACATTCATATTTCTCTCCCTCTCTCCTTTCCTTCCCCTCTAAAGATAATTAAAAAAAGAAAAAACTCGGTCATTGGGCAGAGAAATTGCTTTTCTCTTAGAGGAACCTGCTTCAGTGCCTGGAACTCTCAATTGCTGGTAAAATAAGAGAAAAAGTCTTAGCAACTCTTAAGATTAAATACAACAGAAAATGTAGTTTCTTTGATAAGATCTGTGTTACAGGGATAAGTTGAAGTGTTAAATTAGAGTTGTAAAGTGTCTCACAGTGCCCGATTTATAATAGTTAATACTTCTTCCCTTTCTCTCCCACCTCACTTCTAAGATGAGTAAGTCTGACTTCCTTCTTTCTCTTACTACCCTCCCAGTTTTATTGACACATAACACTATTAGTGTAAGGTGTTCAACATAGTGATTTGATATATGTACATGTTGCTGTATGACTATATTACCTCACAGTTAAAATTTTTTTGTTGTGACGAAAATTCTAGGATCTATTTTCTTAGCAACTTTCAAGAATAAAATACCGTATTGTTAACTATAATCACCATGCTGTTTACTACATAGGCCCCTTTTACCATAATTCTAAAATTCTGTCATCCCTTCCCTTCTGACTCTTTCTGTAGTACTCTATTGACCATACCATTTAGTATTTTCTCATAGTGGTGTGTAATTTTAAATTGTTGCCTCCTTGGCAAGAGTATACATTCTTTGAGGGCGAAAGTCACATCTTTATTTCTTAGAAATTACATATATTATCTAGCTCAGTGCTGGGTGATGATAGGAGAGCACAGAAAGTGTTTTCTGTAAGAATGCAGGAACTAAAGCTCAAATTCCAGGCATGGTGTGCAGGCAAGTGGGGTAGGCAGAATTCACAGTCAAAAGGCTACAATGAGTTTTCCAGAGTTTGGTGTTTAATAATTTCTTACGGCTTCTCAGATGTGGACGTGAAATATGTAAAATACTAGCTTAGACATTGCCTGCCCGCCCCCCCTTTCCATCTCTTCTGCGTTTAATAAATGAGGAAGCAAGTCCAAATGGTTAAGCGGTTTGCCCAAATTGTTAACAACTGGTTAGTGACAGAACCAAGACTGTAATTCAGGGCTTTGGACTTTAAGCCAGTATTTATCCTACTAGAGCGTGCGATACCCTTAAAGTATAAACTGTTGAGCAAAACTAGTTTCTTGGTTGCATAATTTTTCCTTTAAAGGTTTCTCTTTGGTGTTCTTGAGTCAAAATCCAACTTTCTGGTATTTAAAAAAAATCAAGATGAAAATTAATAGATGGAGCACCTTAAAAGCATAATACAGTTGACTTTGTAATTAGCAGAGCTGAAAGGATGAGAAGATCTTGAATTTCCTTTGTGCCTGCAGGAAGGTGGGAGTCGATCATTTTGACAAGTCTCCTGAAAGGCGTAGCTCACAGGGGCTGAGACTGCTGCCAGTTGGGCTCCTGGCAGAGGCAGAGCTCACACCAGCAGCTCCACACAGTGTGGAAGACATTTCTTAAAGTTGTGTGTTTTAACTTCAACAGGAACACATTTGTGAAAACGCAAACATTGTATATAATATATATTTGTTTTGTTTGTATGTTGTGGATATTATTCCATGGTAGTACATCCAGATCTCTCTCTTTTTTTAAAGATTTTATTTATTTCTTATTAGAGGCGAAGGAGAGAAACATCAGTGTATGGTTGCCTCTCATGTGTCCCCTGTGGGAACTGGCCTACGACCCAGGCAGGTGCCCTGACTGGGTCATTTTTTTTTTAATACAGTAGTCCCCACATGTCTGCAGGAGATATGTTCCATGACCCCCAGTGGATGCCTGAAATTGTAGATATTAATGAATTCTACGTATACTCTGTTTTTTTCTCTACATACATAATTTCAACTTAATGGGAAGCAATGTATAGCTTCTCTCTGGCATATTCGAATTGCCAGCATCACTACTCTTGCACTGCACTTTGGGACCATTAAGTAGAATAAGGGTCACTTAAACACAAGTACTGCAGTACTGTGACAGCTGTCCTGAATACTGAGATGGCTACTAGGTGACTGGTGGCATGTGCAGTTTGGATACGCTGGGCAAAGGGGTACATCACGTCCTGGACAGGACAGAGTGGGGAGGCGTGAGATTTCACTGCACTACTCAGAATAGTCTGTGTTTTAAAATGTAGGAATTATTTCTGGAATTTTCCATTTAATATTTTTGAACCTCGGTTGACCTCAGGTAACTGAAACTGCAGGTGACTGAAACTGGGACGTGAAACTGCAGGTAAGGGGGACTCCTGTAGTTGTAAACGATTTCATAGCATGAATGCGCCACGATTTTACTTAACTTATCCTGGTGATGGACATTTCCGTGGTCTCCGGTATTTGGCTGTTTTGGATAATAGTGTTTTGTACATGCTTGTAAATATATCCATGTGTGTGGTTTGTGTTGGTATTTCTGTAGGATAAACTTCTAGAAGTGAAATATCTGGGTCAAATGGCATTGCGGAATTATTACCCACAAATAGTGTGCAGACTTCCACTCTCACTGACAGTGTGAGCGTACTTTTGTCTCACATCCTCACCAGCCTGGATTACTGTCATCTTAATGTTTATCATTTTGATAAGGGGGAAAAAAAGTATCTCATTGTTCTAATATGTATTTCCATGATTCTGATAAAGTTAAATATTTTGGTTATTTTTCATGTTACAAGTCACAGTGTAAAGAATTAGAGATGTTGGGACCCACCCCACTACAGAGCGGATCAGAGTTGGTATAAGGTTCCTGTTCCTCAGCAAAACCGCCTCTTACTTCTCCAGATATGATGTGCTCACTCGTGCCCTCGCGGGCTTCCTTGGATGAGGATGCACTGGATGATGCCTTGCTGGACCCAAGTGAAGGAGAAGAAGATGATGGCCTTTTCAGTGTCACTGAGGAAGAGGAGGAGGAGTTACTGAAGTCAGACGACGAGGAAGAGAAGTTTCTGCAGGCAGATAAGGCCGAGGAAAATGTACTGGATAGCAGTGGACCAGTAGTGGAGACTCCTGGCCTCTCCAGGTTGCCTCAGCTGAACACATCAGTTGGTCAGGGACCGACGCCTACAAAACCATTAAATAGACCCTTTGCACTAGAAAAGAACCACGCAAAGTTAACAGTGGTTGCACCATTTAATCCAACGGTTTGCGATGCCGTGTTTGATAAGGACAAGACTGATTCACCCACGGGTGTTGAACAGCCCTCCTCCCTCGGAGAAGACCTGAGAGAAGATGCTGTTAGCCCGGATAGGAGCAGACTTTGCACTTACTCCGAAGGGATCGGTCCCAACGACTCCGCCTGGGATGGGCCCCCGCCCCCTTCTCCTTCGAATAATAGCTTTACACAGACTGTCCCTGATGAAAATACGCCTGATAGTAAGAAACCCACGCCTGCCTGCGCTCAGGTCTCGGACCACTCAGAGACTCCTCGCACAGGGGCGTCCTGGAGAAACGGACCCCATAAGTCCAGTAGTGAGATGAGGGTGCCAGTCGTTTCCAGTTCCTCAGACAAAGTAAGTATGTTTTTTCAAGGTGGAGAGAAAAGGAAATTATTTTCATTCAGAAGCTGTATAGCAAAGCTTTGTCTTCAAACGCATTGGGGTTTGAACCCTATCGAGCAGCGAGACCCTGGACAGATTGTGTAGCCTCTGTTTCCTCACGTTTCTTATTTATAAATTGGAGTAATATTTCATGGTGAAGATTAATAAAAAGTATATTCACACAAGCATGCATGGTTAAATTACCATATATTGAATGATTACTCTGTTGATGATTTCACTATTATTATTTTTCCCTTTTTGCTTCAGCCTAAATCGCCATCATTGGTTATATTGTATTAGGTACAGCACAGCTCTGAATCAGCCTCGGGAGAGCTGAAAAGTCTTGGGCAATTTACTTAACCACTTTAAACCTGGTTCCCTTTGTTCCAAATAAATTTAATAATCCCTACTGCTTAGGGTTCTTTTCTTCCTTAAGATTATACTCATTTAAAGAACTAGCATAGCGCCTGGTACACGGTGAGGATCAAGGATAGGCCTCTGAGGCCTTCAGTTCAAGAATATTTCCATAGTGTGTTCAGTTATGTTCTTACAACTAAGAACCATCTTTCTTTCTGCATTTCTTCCACTCTGAAAAAAAGGATGTTCTTGACAAGGATTCTGGGAAGCTGAAAGTCCCTGAGAGAATAGGCAAAGTCATTCCTGTTCTGCAAGCCAAAGCCAGGTAACTGTCTAAGGAAATATTCTGCTTTCTTCTTTGGTTTATCTTCTCAGTTCCCCTGTTTTTTCCCCAGGGGGCGGGGGGAGCGGAAACCCTGCCCCAGGAGTGAGCATACTTGAAGTTCTGGGCAAATCGAATAATCTCTGACCTTAGTCTGTCAATAAAAGGCTAATGATGCCTTCTCTGCTGCCTCACAGGATTATTTTGGAAGAGTTAAAACGACATACTAGTGTCCTGGCTGGTGTGGCTCGGTTGGAGTGTCATCCCATAACTGAAAAGTTGCAATTTCAGTTCTTGGTCAGGATGCATATCTAGGTTACAGGTTCGATCCTGGGTCTGGGCACATACGGGAGGCAGCCAATTGATGCTTCTCTGTCACATCAAAGTTTCTCTCTCTCCCTCTCTCTAAAAGCAGTGAAAAAAAAAAGAGACATTAGTGAAAGCAATGTATAAATGTAAGATTTCTTTTCCTCAGTATGGGCGAGCCTGGTCACATATGATAGGAGGTTAGAATAATTGTGTAACAACATAGAGAATCATGTAGTCATCTCTCCCAACTTGCATACAACTGTTCTGGGGGAAAATTCTCCGAGGTGGCAGGTTTGGGTCGCCTGCTCAGTCCGTGCTCGCGTTGCCAGGAGATGGCAGTGTCTGCACGTGGGCCTTTGCGTTAGGCCGTTTTTTTTTTTTTTAGGTTGAGTCACGTTGACTTTTTTACAGTGATATTGAAACGTTTTTTATTTGTCTTTCCATTTATTTGTTTAGTCTTTGTTGTATTTTTTCCATTACATTTAATCCCCTTATACCCCCTCTCCCCAATTGTTTTATTACACAGATTTATTCTGCTTTTGAAAATGTAAAATATTACAAATAAGATTAAAGTCCCTTTCCTTTTTTTTTTCTTTTGTTTACATAACTTGGAAACTTTGTGAATTTCTTGGAATGGAAGTTACACCAGAGAACATAAGTCAGGCTTTGGAACAGTAATGAATTGACTTACCTCCATACTGTCACCCGCAGACTCCTCAGTGTAGTGCAGTCAGTGTGAGCAGAGGCCAGACATTGTTCTTGCCAAGGTCACCAGTGTTCTAATTGCCAGATCCGTCTGGTTCTTCTCTGTCTTTATCTCATTTAATTTTTCTGTGGCTCTATGAAGGAAGTTAGCTATTTCCTGACTGACCTTGAATTACTCAACAGATTCTTCTCTAGGAACTAGGTAGTCTTCACTTTCCTGTGCCTTGTTACTAAATAGTTGTATATATTCTTTTTACTCCCAACTCCACACTTGATTTCCGAAAGCTAGTTGTTCTAATTGTTTAGTGGTATTTGACTTCTGTCCATAAAACTTACCACGTTGCTAATAGACTGTTTTTCTCCTGCTTTGCTTTGTTCCAGGACTAGTGTTCCGACATTTTCACCATCAGATCTAGAACGGAAGAAACAGACTTATGTCAGGAATGTCTTTGCTCATATAAAAGACTCAGTGGACTCGAACCAAGGTAACACGGTAACCAAAGAATGGCATGTGACCATGTAACGGGTCTTTTTTTTCCAATGTAATATAGCTTCAATTGGGAGGTGGTTTTGAATTTTCTTAAGTTAGTGAGAAAGATAACTTTCTTACCCCAAAATGTTCATTCAAAGGGATTGCCTAACCAGATAATCCTCAACGTGGCTGGGCTAATCATGTTAGTGAGGGATCCAGAGAGTCATACCAGTACATGGGGAGTATCGTCCCCGTGGCGGACGCTGTAACTAGACCTGTACTTTTTGCAAGGATTTTCTTTGTCTGAAAAATGGTAGAAGTGGATGCCCGGGCACTGTTTAGTAATCATTGATTTTTATTTGAAATATTTATTTTCCCTATTGCCTTTAGCATTTAAATATAAAAAACCAAGCATTTCAGATTTCCTCCTGCATCTTGCTATCTGTATAAAAACTCTGGAAAGGCTTTGACCACCTTCCAGATCCTTTCAGCCGAATTATTCCTAGTTTGTTAAAACCTGTTGCAAACCAAAATCGCTACACTCCTTCTGTAGCCCTCAAGAGACTGAGTTGATGTTGTTCATCCTGAACTGCTGGCTGATGGGAAAACCTTTCAAAGGAAACTTGTGGGCTGTACTGAAGGTGCAGAGGTTAGAGAGATATTGGTAAGAGAATGCCTTCTCATGAAGATAACTCCATATTCCGTCACCTTCGGTGTCTTTATGCAGCAAATCTTTTTCAAGTACTTTCACTGGTGCTAGGTTTGAATATTAGGGATTGTAAACGTGAAGAGAAGTGAGGGAGAGCCTTGGCCCTTTGGGAATGGACAGCCCAGAGAAGGAAGGAGGACTGCCCTGCACTGTTGCTCAGTGCTCTAGCAGAATTACGGCCAAGTGCAGTGGGGGCAGGCAGAGCGCCCGTCTGTCTGTACGTGCGCAACACGGAGGGTGCGGAAGGAGGACGCCCTTACGTGGGCTCCACAGAGAAGATAAGTAGTTCAGTTACTCTAAAATTACCAGAGAGGGTTTTAGAAGAATTTTGGGCCAAAGATCAGAGGAGTCTCCCCTTTCTTTGACAAATCTTGAATTAATTAGTGGGTTTTTTCTTTTTTTGTTTTATAAGACTATGTGTGAAAAGGTTTAGAACTCTTGACACATCCGTTGGAAGAATTTTTTATTCCAGGTCCTTCTATTTTTTGACTCAAAGATTTCATGAAATCAAATATTACTAATACTGATTGCTCAGCCCTGCGACTGTGAGATCCCTTTGCTTGAGCTATCCTTAAAGGTCTGGTGGGACTGGGAAAACCCTCCGGCCCCCCGCCCCAAGTCACTGCAGCCACGGATTAAAGGACCTTTGTCAGTATTCAGCCTCTGTGGAGGAGGCTCCATCATTGCTTTTCCCTCCCTGAGGCAACTTTTCTTCCTTATTTTTTTTTTACAGATTTTATTTATTTGTTTTTTAGGGAGAGACAAAGGGAGGGAGAAAGGGAGAGAAGCTTCAATGTGAGAGAGAAACACCAACCGGTTGAACGTGTCCCAACCAGGGAATGAACCTGTGACCCGGCATGTTCTCTGCCTGGGAATTGAACTGGCGACCTTTTCACTTTGCAGGATGACACCCAACTGAGCCACATTGGTCAGGGCGAGATGACTTTTCTATTCTAGGCAGCTGACATTGATATATTCAGATATACATTTTCCTTTCTCAGTCGGAGCATTTAGAAAAGAAATTTCCCCAAAAAAGCAATGAGCAGCTGCTCATTTTACAGCATCCTTTCCAGTCTCCTCCCCCATTCAGCAGTCCCTCTCGCAGTTTATCAACAACTATATCCTGTCAGAATCCGCTCGAATAACTGGCACAGAGGAAAGACAGCGTGCTTTAGTGGTTCGGAGAGTAAAGTCTACTCCGAAGTTAACTTCTGGGTTCATGTCTTAGCACCATTGCTTACTGGCTTTGTGACCTTGAACCAACAAAAACTTAGTTTTCTCATTTGTAAAATGGGGATGATAGTGAGGCTTAACTTGTGTAAAAATTATGTTACACGTAAGTAAAAGTATGATGCACAGAACAGTACCTAGCCATAGCAACTAACATCATTTATTGCATACTTGGTATTAGCAAGAAAGTGTATTTTTTTTCATGCTGAAGTTTTTATAGGTAAAATAATATGATCTCAGGTGTTGGTTTTTAAATCTCAAAAAAAAGAAAAAAACAGTATGGAAAGTTAAAATAGCTTTAATAAAATGTTGATGAATGATGCTAGCTGAGTGATGGGTTTGTGGGGTTTCATTATGCAGCATATACTTTGGTATGTATTTGAGAAATTCCATAATAAAAAGTTGTTTTTTAAAAAGTTCATCTTTTGCCCTGACCAGTGTGGCTTAGTTGATTGGGTGCTGTCCCACAAAGTGAAGCATCTCGGCTTAGATTCCTGGTCAGGGCATGTGCCCAGGTTGCAGATTTGGTCTCCCATTGGCACGTGTTCAAGAAGCAGCCGATCAGCATTTCTCACGTTGATGCTTCTCCCTCTCTTTCTCTCTCCCTTCCCTTCTCTCTAAAACAATAAATAAAATCTTTTTAAAAAATGCATCTTTTAGGAAATTCCTCTTTGATATCTAAGAATATTTAACATTAACAGTTAAAATTTCGCAGGCCTTCAACACTTGCTTCTGCCTTCCGGGAGCCCAGTGTGATACTGAGTTCCTTTGTCGCTTCCCACTGTCCGGTAGTCATACATCCAAACTTAAAGACTTTCTGTACCGCGTTGTAGGGGTGCAGGGGCATAGTGTACATTTCTTCTGTGTTTATATGTGAATTACAGAACAGCCAGAGCATAAAGAGGGAGTGTAGTGCCTCCTGTCTTTCTTTGTGAGATGTTTAGTGGTATTTCACCTTGGAAAAGTGTGTCTTAGGTTCTTTCTTAGGCACAGAAATTAGTAGGGCAGGTTCTAATGCAGTTCCTGCCAGTTCACTTTGAATCCTCTCCATCAGGTTAATCCTCGTATTTCATTTTATCAATAATGTACATATTGATACATAATATAATATAAATCACCCTTCAACTCCATTATTCTAATATAGGTATAGTCTCTTTTAAGTTCTTAGAGTAAAAAAGACCACTAAGATCTCTTTAATTTCTAAACACGTAATTCTGTTATGTGTATCTTTGCCAGGTGACCATTCAGCCTTTTGCCCACAGCAATTATTCACCTGATGGTTCAAGCATTCATTGATGATCCTTGCCTGAATCAGCTACTACTCAGAGTTGGATAGAAAAATGTTCATTTTCTAAATAAATGTATCACTTTTTCTGCAATTATTAGCTAATACTCCTCTATATAGATTTTTTAATTAGTATCACTATTACCTCATGAAATTTTTTTTTTCCTGAAAAGGTTTTACTACACACAGAGGGGACGAGGTTCAGTCCTTGGCTGCTGCCTTCCTCGTGGCTGCAAGGATACTACTACTGAGCTCCTCTCTCTTCCTCTCGGCGTGGTTGTGTGTCCCCACCGTTTTCTCAATGAACTGCAGCACCCGCTTGTCCTTGGAGAACTTGAGCAGCTTCGTGGTGGATTGTTTGTAGGGGCAGAGCACACACCTCTCAGATTATGTCCCGTGGACCTTGTGTTCAGTGAGGCGATCACTGCGACTGCTGTGCCTCAGCGTGCTTATGTTCTTGGTGATCTTGTGGCTTTTTTTTTAAAATTTATTTTTAGAAAGGAGAAAGAGAGAAACATCAATGTATGGTTGCCTCTCACACACGCCCCACCACTGGGGACCTGGCCCACAACCCAGGCACGTGCCCTGACTGGGAATCAAACCAGTGACCCCTTGGCTCACAGGCCGGCACTCAGTCCAGTGAGCCGCACCAGCCAGGGCATAATTTTAAAACAACCACCTTGTGGCTTTTTGAGGCTCACAGCCATGGGGTAGTGCCGAGCCATGGCTACTGCTCTTTCAATAGCGCCGCTGGGAACAAGGCGTGCAGATACCTCTTAAAGACCCTGCTGTTAACTTTTTGGCTGTGTAACCAGAAGTGGGGTTGCTGGATCATATGGTAGTTCTACTGTTAATTTTTTTTTTTTTAATTTCTAATACAGTCAGCCCTGGCTGGTGTAGCTCAGTGGACTGAGCATGGGCCTGCCAACCAAAGGGTTGCCAGTTCGATTCTCAGTCAGGGCACATGCCTGGGTTGCAGGCCAGGTCCCTAGTTAGGGACACGTGAGGGGCATTCACACATTGATGTCTCTCCCTCTCTCTCTCTTTCCCTTCCCCTCTCTCAAATGAAACCTTTAAAAAAATAAATTTTTTTTTAATATGGATATTTTTTAAAATTTTTATTTAGTTGATTTTAGAGAGACAGGAAAGAAGAGAGTGAGAGAAACACCAATTTGTTGTTCCATTTATTTATGCATTCATTGGTTGGTTCTTATATGTGCCCAGACCAAGGATTGAACCCACAACCTTGGCGTGTTGGGATGACGCTCTAACCTATTGAGCCTACCTGGCCAAGGCTCTATTTTTTATTTTTTGAGGAGACTCCATACAGTTTAACATTGGTTGCACTATTTTACTACCCCAGTAACAGTGAACCCCAGTAACAGTGAACAGAGGTTCTAGTATCTACATTCCTGCCAATACTTGTTATTTTCTGTTTTCTGGTAGTTATACTATGGTTGTTAAATCAATATTCATTGTTGGTAATACAGCCAAGTGAATACCGTTCAGTACAATCTCAGTGGTATACTGTGGTTCTGGTCTCTTTCTTGAATTACTTGTTTTTCTGAAGTTTTTAATTACCTCACTTTTAGATTTTATTTATTTATCTTTACAGGGTAAGGGGAGGAGAGAGGGAGAAAAATATCAGTGTGTGGTTGCCTCTCATGAGTCCCCTGCTGGGAACTGGCCTGCAACCCAGGCATGTGCCCTGACTGAGAATTGAACCGCGGTTGTTTGGTTCGCAGGCCCGAGCTCAATCCACTGAGCTACACCAGCCAGGGCAAATTAC